GGTTCGGGTAACCGTATCGGTCGGTGGAGGTGGGTGAAATAGGTGAGAGAATGTCCGGGGTGCTGAGTCCAGCAGACGGGTTGAAACCTATGCTGCCAAACGCCGGGCTGAGGCCGGTCGGCGATAGATGCTCGTCACCCTCATGCCGCCTTACATCCACCATGAGTGGCCGCATCATATGGTCCGCGTACGAAGAACCGCCGAGATCAACTGGCGAGGTAATGGGTGTTCCTAGGCCATGGACAGCGCCATATGGGGAGTGGAGTGCGCTCAGGCTGTCGAAATCTTCCGGGACTGCCCTCATCTTCATCATCCGCTCACGATCGTCGGCGGTCAAACGCTTGATTTTGGCACGGCTAGCTACCAGTTAGTTCGCCGTTTGCTGTGCTCGAGCCCAAGACGGCAACCTCGGATCGGGAACTTACCGGTTCTGGAACCACACCTGCACTTGCCGTGGGCTCAACCCGGGGATTTCTCGCGAGAGCCGTTCGCGGTGAGCGGCATCGGGATGCGGCTGCTTTGCGAATTCGCTCATTAGGAACCTCGTTTGTTGGTGAGTGAGCCTGGGGAGTATTAGCCATTGCTTGCTTTTTCTCTAGTGAACACCTTCGGAGTGACGTACCTGAAGCGCTTCATCTTCCGGCGCTGCGCGGTCCTCTCTGCGGCCGTCTGCGGCTGGGCTTGTGCGTCTCCATCTACCTCGCCTTCAATCATGTCCTCGTCCTCCACCACCTCTTCATCCTCCTCTTTGATGACGGCCTGCCCCTCGTTTCCCGAGTGGCTCGGCGCGGTCTCGGAACCTTGTCCCGCCGAGGATACCGAGCTCAGGGGGTTCGATCCCAAGGACATGCCCCGGGTCTCTGTCGAGGTCGATGACTCTTCGTGTGCCAACTCGGGCGCCTTGGGTGGATACTGGTCTCCTTGGTTTTCTGGTTGCTCTGGGATCGGCGACGGTTGCTTTGGCTGGCGCAGACCGAGAGGGTCGAGGCGATGATCCAAGGGCGAGCCCTCCGGCTTAGGCCCCTCGCTCGGCGAAACCACCGTCCGTGGCTGCGCTTGCGACTCTGCGTTCTCGGTCGAGCCTGTCACATGTTCGTATGGCTGCGAAAAGATGGTGTTGTCGCCTGGTGGAAGAAACGAGTACTGGCCCTGCCAGTCCGACTGCGTCACCGTGTCGAAGTTGTTCGACATGCGTAATTTCTCCGCAGACTTGCGAAAGGCGGTTTCGAACTTGCTTATGGACCAAGAACTCTGCTCCGTAGCGGTGTGCCTGGTAACAAGCATTTGGAATTGTTTGTCGGTGATGGACGAGGGTAAAGGTGTCTCTGGTGGTTATCAAGGAGGGCTGATGGTCGCCCCAGTAACGCAGGTTGATGTCCACGAGGCAGGTGGAAAAGCGAATGACGGGGTGGCGATAGAAGCGAGTGAGTGCTGGAGTTGGTGTACGAAAGGTCAAAAGCCACGGGTGCACATCACCGACAGCAACACCGGGTGGGCGGGTCTGCTACCTCCAAAATCACGGCCTTGGTTGCTGATCTCAGTAGATCTCCACGATCTATGTAGAGGCAGGGGGTCGAAACGTGCTGGGAGTCGACGGCGATCGTTGAAGATTTGTCTATGGCCGGCCTTCCAGGGCCTTTCCGTGGATGAAACTAGACAGCAGCAGCGTCGAATGAAGAGATAAATCCCTCGGGACGATGAGTGTCGTACCAGCAAGACAGGTTCCCGCCAGTTAGGACAAAGATCAGACGAATCCACCAGTGTCGTCGTCCCTAGTCCAGTAGCTTTCGTCCTATGGTAAGCCGGGTTGTTATCGGCCGTGGTCGTCGGTTTGACAGTGAGGATGGTCGATGAACACGCAGGAGAAAAGGTTGACCCTGGCCTGAGGAGCCTGAAGGCAGTAAGATATCTTGGGTGATGTTGGGTGTTTTAGCCAATTCACGGCGGGGCCGGTCTGCTGGTGGATATTCCTCGAGAACGGAATAGATCCGGGAGTTATGGTTCTCGAGGGCTGTCCTTGGTGGTATTAAGGCCCGCTCCCTTGGTCCCCTGTCCCTAAGGTGGGATGGAGGTGGGATCAATACCGGCGGAGAACCCAGTCCACAACGGAGGAGCGCCGAGGCCGCATTCGAAATCAGGCCAGGGTCTGCACGGGCAACCGCAAGAATGGATGGGACTGGCTGACTGGGGGAGCTGGGGGGAGGGGGGGTACCTGGTACCTGACAGCAGACGGGTGCTATAACGGACGGCTTGAAACAGGGGTGTCGTCTGGGGGCGGGTGCCTCGATTAGACAAAAGCCGCGAGCTATGAACTCCGCTATAATAATATCGGGTTTGGCACCGGTGGTCTGCCGGCTGGCTGAGCCACACCATCTAGCGATCGGGGCCACTCCTCTGTGGTCAAGGGCAGAGGCGAGCAGCAGGGCTATAGTGAGAAGCTGCTGGACCACACAAGATCTCGGCTGAATGGCTAATGCTGTGCTCGGGCGTTGATGGAACCAACCGTAAGTCACCGCTGGCACGCAAAGAGGAAGCCGAAAAACGGACGGGAAACGTTGATGGCAAGACCGGTGACAAGCAACGAAAGGCAAGGGTTTGAGGAACAGGACGAAGATGAGGAGTAGCACACACCCAGCAGGCTTGGGCAGGGTGTGAGTTGCGAGGGCGGACTGCGTGTCCGCATGTATGAAGAGACGTAGAAGAGACGAGGGCCTATTTGGCGCAGTGACGCCCACTCATACATCCGATACAGACAGTGAGGCAGGCGAGAGAAATGGTCCATCAAACCACACGCCATACATGAGGAACCCGTGTGGGCGCCGTCCGGGAACAACACAGACTCTCTTGACAGGGGCGCGCCCGCACCGATCTGACAGCCTAACCGCGCAGCCGCCTCGATGCAGCCGCAACTTCTGGGCGGGCAGGAGTGTGGCAAGAAAACAAAAACCCTCAACGAGAGCTTGCAGAGCTGCATGGAGAGGTGGCATGGCATCTCGGCTCGAGCATTGAGGGGTGGCTGATTGGTCCTTGGTCCACATTACATCTGTGTCGACTCCACGGAAAGCATGACCGTTGTTGAGTTCCCAGTCGGCCTTAGCCAATCGCGGACCTTGATCTCCAAGCAAGGTTCGGGGGTGGGTGCGGTGCCTGTTGCTTGGTCTGCGGAGAGGGGAGTGAAGGCAACGTCGACAGGGGTGTGGATGCAGATCGGGCAACAAAATGACAGGAGAGCTGCACAAGCTGGTGCTGACAGTGCGACTAACAGGCGGTCCATGTTTGGCGGCAGTCGTCTCGAAACGGCAACGCTGGCCTGTGATGGTGGTGTTGGAGGTGGGGAGTGCGAGTTTGTGGTGTTTAGCCCTGGCCAGCTTGGACGGAAAAGGACGAGGGAAGATGGAACAGCACGGACGAGCAGATCTCTTCTGTCTTCGCCGCATCTGAACCAAGGAAGTGGCTACGCAGTTGAGGCCTGCTTGAAGTTGTGGTGAGGTTGTGTAGCAACGGCGGCGACGGTGGTATGCAGCCGTGTACTGTGCCGATTAGGAAGGAGGTTAACCGGCTTAGATGTGCTCAGCTCCGAACGGTAGCGCTCAATGCCTGAGGATTTAGCCTGGGGTAGGTAGCCCTGCATCGAGCGATTGTGAACGGCGCCGCCCAAGTTCGAAGAGCGACTCGTCGTGGGAGAGGAGTGACCCAGAAGGCCGATATCCTCCATGTCTGCGGAGTGTGAAGCTCGCAGATTTGGTCTTGGGCGCGGCGAGCGAGACACGCAGACAGACATGTCTAGTTATTTCTAATGGGCCGGCGTAGACGGTGGCGGCAGCCCACTCTCCAGGGTAACTACGAATATGTCTGTCTAGGCTGACGGGTCGCGGCAGTGGTGAGCGGGTTACCCTGACATGGCGCGGCATTTGGGCAAGCTGCGCCGCCGCACCATTCCTGTGTGCGCGCCTTCTCGAAACGAGTGCCGACCCGGCAGGGGAGCGAGGCGTCTGGGGAAGAGCTGTGATGGCATCGCATCTCGTCTGAAAACAGGGGCCTTCGGAGAGGTGGGAAGCAGCGCCGAACAAGCCGCAGGCTGATCTCCACCCAGGCGCCCAAACAGCGGCGAGTACGGATCCCAGTGGGGTTTGGTGCGACGGGGTGGTGGGAAACACAGGAGCACTGCTGTGGTAAGCGGGCCAAGGGCAAGGTGTCGTGCATCGGAAGGGTCGCATTGAGAGAGGGTGGTGGGCGCGACGTGCGTCGCGACAAGCCGGGCCAGGGCGCCCTGGGCTTGAGTGTGGCTCCCAACGGTGGAAGCTTTTCCACGGTTCGATCAATGTGTCTCAAGGTTTTGGGGGAGGGGGTGTGGCTAGCTAACCTCTTAGCGCAGCCGAGATCAGAGACAGTGCATCGTTTGAGCCTTCTTTTCCAACAGGGGTGGCACCGACAGTTTCATCAAGGGGGGGTTCGGTTGGGGGCCAGCAAAGAAGGCGACGACGCGTCCATGAGAAGGCACCGCAGAGTGCACCAGCAGAACAACAACCCACACGACCGGCGCAGCCGCGAGATGCCAGGAGTGACAGGTGGAGAAGCGGCTTGCTGGGGTGAGATCCCGCCCAACCATGCGTGCCCTTCCAGGCGTCTTCCACGGGAGCACACAGAACGCCAGACCAGGCTCCGCTGCCGCTGCTGCATCAGATCGTCGGGCGACGCAACCCGTTTGTTTTCGCTTGTTTTCGCTTGCGACTGCTTTCCTGCCCATGTGGGCTTGTGTGCCCTGGAATCACTTTTGCAGGGTCAATCAGCCCGGTCATCCTCATGTTCGATGCCGTGCCTCAAGCTGGCCCTGGTGATGACGCATCTGAAGCGTGTGTTGGAGCGAAGAAAAGTACTTCGTATACTTCGTACAATTATGTATGTATGTAGGTAGGTATGTACGAAGTATTGCGTAAAAAAGGGAGCCGCGTGGAGGCGCCCGGGAGTCGATCGTTACAAGGCGGGGGACACTGACGGCTAGGCCCGTCACGAAATGATTGCCTGCCGCATGGAAGATGCTGTGTGACCGTGGCTTTCGATGACACATGGTGATGGGCAAACGAATGATGAAAAGACGAGTCTCGGTCACCGACGGCGGTTGCGGACGCGTAGCTCGGTACCTATAACCTAGATGCGCTTATTTGTCAGTAACTATGTGAACAAGAAGAATTTGAGTTTTGTTGGTGTGGGCGCTTGTTCAGATTGCGGCGGGTAAGTGGGGACCTGGCATCGATATCTGAGCTAAGGATTGGAGTCCAGATTGGCATAGAGATCAGTTGGTGACGAAGCTTCAGCTTGTGAGTTGCGCAAAGACGGAAAACATTCCAAATCTGATTTGGTGTAACTAATGTGTAATGCAGAATTCGCTTACTGGGCAGGTCATGGAGCGGGGGAGAAGGAAAGAGCTCTCAACCGATACTGAAAGCGCATTTCAGAATGGAATTTGAGTATTGAACCATGGGAACCTGACAACTCTCGACCCGTCACCTACCTTCTTCATTTCCAAGAAATCCCGCGACTGCCGGTTTCAGCCCGCACAGGCATCATCCCACAAACTACCGGAACCAATTTCCATACTGTAAGGAGGGTCAATGTGGACGGATGTGCTTTGCTTTTTTTTTTTTTTGCCTTAACGAAGAGCGAGAAAAAGGCCCCCCTTTCCCGCAAAACCATGCAGATGCCCCTGTAAAGTGCATTGGAGTGGCTGGCGTATTGCAGCTAACCGTCACCAGCTTAGGAATCGCGTTTCCTGCATCGCACTGTGTTACAACACATGGGCGACCAGTCGACTCGTCTAGAGTATGTGTGCACATACATACAATACAGCAAAATATCCGCGGCAGTAAGAACAACTACCGGACTCTCCCAGGTCTAGGCAAAACCCATCAACGGACATCGCTTTGGGTCGGGATCACATCTTCAAGTTCGGGAGGTGGCCTCGGATGGACGTCAAACAGTTGCGGTCCCGCTCGGCAGGAACTGCCTTTGCACGTGCTGGGGCTGGTGAAATCCAATGCCAGCGATGCCGATTGGATTCCCGTAAGATTCTGGAAGCATGTCCGAATTTGGGATGGCGCGACGGGAAGGCGGATGGTTGGTGGCCGAAACAACGCCATTTCCCTGTGGAACAGCCACTGAGATCTGATCCTGTGCCGGGAATGACCCCTGGCCTATTCCCAAAGCTGCCCTGGTTGCGATGATCATGACAACAAGGGCCGGAGCTTGAGGATGCGAGTTCCGCTTTGAGCTTGACTTCCATCTTGTCGAGCATTTCTTCAGGTTTTGACAAGACGCAGCCGTCCGAGCGAAGCGCAGAAAAAAGGGGTGTCGCGGTTTGAAGCGTCGGTCAGGGTCCAGTAGTCCAGCAATGGCGCTAACTCACCACCCGATCACTTTGGTCTTGCTGATGGGCGATCAGATACCGAAACTCGGCCTCCACATCTCGCCGATGGGACAGACATCCATCAAGTTCTTGTCTCACTCAGCAGGCCTGGTCTTGCAAACGCAGTAAACCACGGCTTTGGCGTGAGGATCCAGATGCAGCTGCAGCTCGTCGGCTTGCCCCCTTTACGTATCAGATTCAACCCGACCATCGACTACACCATCGAGTTCACCTGTTTGGTTAGCACAATACACACCGATTCGACCCGAGTTCGACCACGAACTGCGTGCATTCCCACGAATGAATGCGGGGTATCAAAATGCTCGGCAGCTTGTTTGCGAGTTTGCGGGCCTGAGATCTCGGCACCCGAGGACCCGAAATGCCTCTGCAGAGATCCCGTCCTCTCGGCCCCGGTTCTCGGCACCTCCTTGAATGTATCATGATGGATGAATGAGTGTTGATACGCGTCCTTTCAAAAGGGTCCGCGTGCTGAGTTGTTTGCTCACAGCCGCCAACTTCATCGATCACCCCCGGTAGCCTTGATGCAGTTTCCACTCGGCTTTTGGAAGAGTCCATGGGGGTACAATGCTGTGAGTGATGGCTCCAGTCATAAGGCCCTGGGTGTGCCCTGACTGAATAGGCTATTGTAATCATGATTTCTTGGAATCCGGTTCTTCGCCAGAGACAAGACACGGCACCACCACCACCATGTGTGGCGAGACGGGATTTCAGGCACGAGCAAATCAGAAAAGCCAAGTCGTTCGCGGCTGAAGAAAGAAGAGTGGTCTTCTCGTGCAAGAACTCCCAGAGCCGCTTTCCCGAGTTCTTGCAGCGCCTGACAGTGAACGAAACCCCTGGCACCCAGCTACATGCTCTGGTTGCACCAATACGAGAGTTGCACCGTCATTGTGGTTTCCGAGCTGCGTTAATGGGGGCACAAGCGTAGCAGGTCGGACGAGATCTAGGAGCCCCTGTGATGGGCAGCTGCCCTTGACAATGCACTTTCCCGTCGGGTTCTCCAATCAGCTGATATATCTACCTATTGACTGCGCCAGGCGGTGCTCCGAGACGAGGCTGGAGGAGGAGCAGCGCCCGGATCAGTTCTCAGGGGCCAGAGCATGGTCCACGGCGGGATGCGAACAAACGCACAACCACACCTCCCGCGTACCCCATCCGTCAGAATCTTGACTCATACTCCGACTGCGGTAGTCCAAGCTCGCCCGTGCCTCGTCGCGAGTCTGGCGTAATGTTTTTTGAGGGAGCGCTGCATCAAAAACCTCACATCCTATGATTCCTCCCGTTTGGAGTCAGCTGTGGACCGACTCGGGAGCAGGTCACGGACAATCTGGTTGCTATACTCGGCGCCCTCCCGCATTTTACCACGGTCAAAGACCCATGCGCGCGGTTCACCCCAGGAGGCAAACTCGTCTCTTTCCGCCAAACAAACGTGGGCCTGCTCCCGCTGCCGAGCGAGTAGCTCTATGGGCAGTACGGTGGCGCAAAGCCATATGTTCCTTTGCGGCCAAGTATCTCAAGTCTGAGCGTGTCCGCGTTATTCCATGTTACTGCGGGTCGTCAGGAGGCAAGCTGCCGCCGTATCCTCGATGTGGCGGCACCATCTGAGCTCTGGGGCCAACCAAAACACGCCTCTGTTTCCAATGTGCGACATTGTGTAGGCGCGGTTGGCGGCGTGCAGCTCGCGCGGCGTGGTCGACGAGGCAATGGCCCAGCCACCCAACTCCATCATCTTGCGCTGGAATCCGTGTGCCGTATCCTTCAACGGGGGCTGCAGGGCTGCACAGCTGGGCAACCAACCGCCACACAGCTAAACCAGGATGGCTCAGGGGCGCGCTCCTCGGCCTGGTAAGTTTGTTACTCTTAGGTGCATGATACCACTGAAATGCATGATGTTGAAGTTCCACTGACCACGAGACCGGCCCGGTCAGCACACTAGGCACATATTAATATCAACCCGCGTGGATTGCATGGCGAGAGGTCGGATTGACGGCAATACACCTCGATGCGCCAATTGGGCAGTCGGAAAAGCCGCAGCCCATACGGGCTCTCGGCTCCAAAGGCTGGAGGCAAGACTCGGCGGCGCTGGTCTGGAGCTGGTAGACAGTCGGGCCTTCGTCTCTGAGCATACCTTGTGGTGTAACACTCAGAACAATGCGTGCTCTTCCCCACGCTTCACCACATATGACCTTCCCTTAAGGGTATGGCGGCTTGGTTAGGTGTGTCCGGCCGTTCAGCGAAGAGGGGGATGTTATGTGTTGTGTGATATGGCCTCCACGCCGAAGTCGATCCGGCAAGGAGTTTCTCTAGCATCACACCGGCATCGCCGGCATCACTCCTTTCGGTGGAGCACGCCAGACCCAGTCTGGCCCCGGCCAGGCCTTGACTCCATCGGCCTGCGCGATCGAGACTGCGTGGCGTGAAGCACGACAGAAGTTGCGGACAATCTCCTTTGGTCTGTGGCGACTGATAATTTTCGACGAGGGCCAAGAAATAGGGCGGGCATGGCCGTGATATGGGACTGAACGACGTCTCAATTCTCCGTTTTGATATCCCGCTTGACCGTCCGGTTGGATGCTGGAAACAGATTCCGAACCGCTTCCCAGGTACACGGCTAACTTCTTGGGCTTGCAGCCGCGCGCCATCAGTTATCGGCTGTATTTCGTTGCAGGCACTGCTAGCCGGCTCAAAACCCAGGGGGAATCGCGCTCCTCTGCGCTTCTCAACGAGCCCGCCTCTCAGACAGGCGGCCCCGATGCAAGTCCCTAGCAAGAATACCGCAACCACGTTACGGAAAGTATCGCTAAGGAACGGACAAGCAAGTGTACATCACGATTCATGGCCCACGCCAGGCTCAGATGGCCACATCCTGCCCACAATTCTACAACACGCTGTCAAATACCTGATGCCTGGAATGACCGGAAACATTTCACCCATGAACGCCGCCTTCGCTGTTATATTTTCCGTTATGTATCGAATCGAGGGGCCTCCAGCGGCCGAACGCGAGGGGGCTCTATTCTTGGAGAAGTTTCGATATCGGCATGCCGGCCATGCCGCCGTTCTGGTTTTGGAACATCCCGGCGGATAAAATGGAGACAGAACCGCTGGGTTTTCCAAGTTTCAACTTGGTTCTATTCGTCACAATAGGAACGCTTTCCTCTTGAGGTTCCTCGTTGCTGTCTGGGTTTGTCCGGTCGGCCTTCCCAAGCTGGCGAAACCATTGGCTCAGATCACCACTTCTCGTCACGTCCCAGCACTACCGTTTAACCACGCCGCAGCAGTTGGCGCCAGCGACCCAAGACCCGGGCCCCAGTCTGCGAGCCATGCTGCTGCATGAAGAGGAGATGCCGTCCTGCGTCTTCTCTTCCCCGCATGGGGCCGGGTTTCACGCAGGAACAACATGCGCCTTTCGGCTTCCTTGGACACGCGGGATGTGGCCGGCCGCCCCCAGAAAGCGGGCTGGGGTGTGGCTTAACCCTTTCCGCGTCAGGCGGGCCCATCTCTATCGTCAGCTGATGGTTAGCAGGCCGCGATTCTTGAACGACCTCCCGGTTCAGGAAACAAGCTCCTGCTTCCGTATGCGGGGCAGTATAGCTCGCGGATGCGCACCCGAGCCGCCACCACGCATCAGGCTTGCGGGCATGCCTGCGGCGGAGATGGGCGGCTATGTACCAACAACATCTGCTCCAACTTCCCCTGACTCCACGGCGGCTACTATACCCCTATACCATAGCGGTCCTTCTCGCCATCTTCGTCATCCGTTAGCAAGCTTTCAACCGACGATCTGAGACTGACGGATCGCAAATATGGTTGATGACAGATTCTAGCCGTCCGAGACGCCGAGAGAAACTCAGTGCCGAGCACCAGGCAAGATTTTGCCCCTGCCACCCAAGATCCGTCAAAAATGACCTAGGGCAATCAAAATATATTGCCGGTTCGCACACCCGCGTCAATAATGGAGCACTTGCACAGTAAATAGCCCCCATAGGCCGGCTGCAGACGGATACTTTGGCCGCCTCTCACGCCCTCGATCATGATCTCGCTGTCGGCGCCTGGGTCTCGGCCTCTGTGGCGCAAAGTGTTCGGCCACCCCCCCTCTCCCCCCTTTTGCCCTCCGTCTTTTACCATGCAGCGTTTTCGGACCGGAAAATAAAGCGGGCACGCTCCTGAGGGGGCTCGGAGTAGGTCGTGACGAATAAACATGCCTTGTATGAACCGTGCCGGCTACTCTTTACAAGAGAGGCAAGCCGCTCTGGAGGGAACACACTTAATCCGTACATGTGGTGAGTCTGGCCAGGGGGACCCCTCCAATTAAATACAGTGCGAAACAAACCAAATACGACTAGAAATGCCAAGAAACACACTGTCATACACTGTGGATTTGGGAGCAAGCTCGATGGAACGCGTCGCGCTGATTGATTGATTGATGGATTTCGACGCGTTTGCGCGACCATGCCAAGCAAACGCTTAACCCACTATCATCGGTCAACACTCGTCAACACCACGGCCCGATTGTGAGCTTTTGGACAGTGGGTTGCACATGTTGGAGTCCTCACACTCTATGCGGCCTTTGTGATCTTTGTCCAAAATGGAGGACGTTGGGGTCAATAACGACACGGTGCATCCCGAAGCGCGGGCATACATCACCAGCTTGGTGTCTGCAGTAGGTTGCTACCCATGCTCTAGACTTTTTGAACTTGGAATTGGGACCCCACTGACTCTTTATTTCCTCCTCTAGCTCGGTGGCTACGGCGTCGACGATGATGGTGGCTATACTCTCGGAGACGACGCCCTCGAGGTGCTACGCGACCTTAAGAGATGGGTCCGTTTCTACGACGAAAGAACGAACCGAATGGACGTCGCTCGATGCTTGGCCGAGTCGAATCTTGTCACCTCCGACCTCCTACAAATTATGGCCAAGTGGGTGTCCAATGAAAGCAGTAGCAAGTACATGGAGCGGATTGCCTTTGCCTGCTTGGAGATCATGGTGCCGCTCACCTGGCCCATCGAGCGAGACAGCGAGACCATGACGGTCAACCACCATCGCCACCTGCCCGTCCTACAACTTGCCCAGCTGGGCTACAAACGCGCCATTATAAACTTCGATGTCGCGCCAATCCTCAGCACCGCTGTCAGGATAGCCCTGCCATGCATGGCAATCCCGAACGGTGATCGGTCGTCTCGCGACCAGGCTACCATCAAGCTTATCCTATACTTCTTGCGAAATATTGCCATGATTGCCCCTCCACCGGGCCTCAAGTACGAGGGCGATGAGACCCAAGTCTCCCGGTCGACCCTTATCGACGCGTTTACCTTCCAAGACATTTTTTTGACGATACTCACCATCGCTTCCAACATGGGCGAGGACTTCCGGACCGAGGACGTGATCATTCTGGATATCATTTTCCACATCGTAAAACGGGTCGACTCGAGCAAGCTGTTCGTGAGCGAGAAGCGGCTGCACAAGATAAAGGAGGACGAGCTGACGGCGGCCATGAGGAAGGAGGCGGCCATGCTGAAATCGTACAACAAAAATGCGCCAACTCGACACAGCCGTTTTGGGACAATGATTTGGGTCAAGCGAGAGAGCGGCAAGCTTGCGACAGTTTCGGGCCAGGATGCGTTGCTGGACGCTGCCACGCGCGAGAGGAAGATGGACAGCAACAAAAGCTTTAAGCCGCCTAGGCGTGCCAGGAAAGAGGATATGGAACCCAAGGACCTCGGCCCTCGAGTATCTCTCGATGAGAGAGCCCGCCGGCAACTTCAGTCCTTTGTGTCCGAGTTCCTCGACTCCGGCTTCAACCCGTTATTTTCGCACGTGAGGAGATCACTCGACCGCGAGGCACCGCACGTGCTGCAATCCCACCACAGCCAATTCTTTTATCTAGTAGCATGGTTCCTGGAAGCGGAACGGATGCGCAAAAAGGCGGCAAAGGATTCTAAGAATCAAACCTCAACGGGCGAAGATGTGGGGAGCTTCAACCTGGTTGCCGAGGTGCTCAACCAGGAAATGTTTATCACCATGAGCCGTACCTTGGATCGCGCCTATGGCGACAAAGATTGGCGGCTCTTGACCACAGTCATGCGCTGCTTTACCCAGATTCTCCTAACCATACAAGAAATGGCCAGTTCGGGTAACGAAGAAAACGAGGAGATCGCAGACAATATCCTCAGCCGTCTCTTCTACGAGGAGACAACACACGATCTGATCGCAAATATTGTTCGCACGTATAAAGACCAGGGGTTCGAATACCTTGATGCTTGCACCGAACTCACACATACCTTTGTCCGCATCCTCGAGGCATACTCGAAGGAGAACGTCGACCTGCAAGTCCGTTCCCGGAAGAGGACACGACGGAAGAAGAAGGCGGCCAAAGCTGCGGGAGACCAAGGGGACGACGAAGGCCAAGGCGATGCCGAAGACGACTCGGCAGATGATGAGAGGCAGGCCGAGAAGACAAGCCAAGAGAGGAAGTTCGACTTCAAGCGATTTGCCTTGAGGTTCGCGCCCCAGGGCGTGGTCGATACATTTGTCACCTTCACCAAATACTACCGGGATCTTGACGACTCTCAGCTGAAGCGAGCCCATCGGTACTTCTTTAAGCTTGCCTTCAAGCAAGACATGAGCGTCATGCTGTTCCGCTTGGACATCATCCACCTGTTTTACAACATGATCAAAGGCCCGGAGCCGCTCGACAAGAGCTCGTCCATGTACAAAGAGTGGGAAGATCTCGCGATGCAAACCATACGGAAATGCGTGAAGAAGCTTGAAGAGCGGCCAGCACTGTTTACGGAGTTGTTGTTCTCGAAAATCACCAGCACCGCTCACTATCTCGAATACGGCCACGAGAAGCAGACCATCTCCAACCCCAGGCCGGCCGCCGAGCTCGAGTTCAAACGCGAGGTGGAACGGGAGCAACAGATTGCGATTCTCGTCGGCGTTCTGATCGACAGGAGCCAGACTGATCACTTGGGGTGGATAAAGAAGCAGCTTTCCGATGCAGAGAGCGAGCGGCGAGCGTGGGAAAACGCCGAGAGGGCCCTGGCAGCCGAACGGCCAGACGATGAAGTAATGGCCGGGTCTGCCGAGGCAATCGCCGCCAAAACGCCCGATCACGTCACCATGCGGCCAGACACCGATGCGCGCCGCACAGCCATGTTCAAGAACCCGCACCTCCGCCTCCTCATGAAACTCGTCGGCCTAGAGCGCCTCGCCCCAACTCTCGACGAAACTCCCGACGCAATCTGGATTATCCCGGGCACCCTCACCGCCGACGCCCTCAAGGAAACCATCTCCCTCATCAACAAAGCCGAGTTCACCCCACCAATTTTTGACGACGGCGAACTTGCCGAGGACCAACTCCGCCGCAAAACCGCCCCGCGCAAACGCGCCGCCTACGATGACGACGACAACCTCGACGGCATCAACGACCTCATCAACGACGGCTCCGACGACGACGGCGACGACGGAACAGGCATCCTATTCCCCGCCGGCGGGCCCACCGCGCGCAAACGCACCGCGCAAGACGAGCCCCCCAAGAAACGTCTCCAACGCCGCCGCCGCCGCGGGGGCTCGGACGACCCCGACGCGGACACGGCAGAAACGGACGCGCAGGCGGAGGCTCGCGCCCGCGCCCGCCGCAAGAAGGAGCTCGAGAAGGCGCGCAAGATCAAGTCCGAGATGTATGTCGATCCGCGCGAGGACGATTCGGATTACGAGGGGAATAAGGAGCGCGATCGGCTGTTCTTTGCGCGCGAGGAGGAGCGCCAGGCTGTGAAGGATGCCACGTTTGGGTTGAGTAGTCGGCCGGAGGGGGTCGGGGAAGGGGCGTGGGAGGCGTTGGTGGGCGCGGTGATGGGTGGTGGGGATGGGGATGATGGGGAGGGGGAGGATGCGGTGGTGGGGGAGAGGCCTCCTAAAGTGGGGGGAAGGAAGAGGAAGTCGGGGGTTGCGGACCTGGCTGAGTCGGGTGGGGAGGATAGTGAGGAGGGGGATGAGGATGATGAGAGCAGATCGGAGGAGGATGGGAGTGCGGTGTCGGAGGCGGAGGCGCCTGCTGCGGCGGGGAGAAGGCCGAATAAGAGGAGGAAGCCTGCTCAGAAGAAGAAGAAGAGGGTGGTTGATATCAGCAGCGGCGAGGATGATGATGTGGGTATGGATATGGACGTCGATGTGGACGCGGACGCGGACGCGGACGCCATGGACTTCACGCAGTCTAGCAAGGACGGCGCGGTCACGAATGACACGCCTCTGTCGTCTGATCCCAGTCGGACGACCAAACCAGGCGGTGCTGAGGGGTCTGGAGATAAGGGCGGTGGGGAGGATGAGGATGAGGATATGCCGGTGGCGAAACCGGTTGCTAGGGCTCGGCCAAGGGCGAGGGCGGGGTTCATTGTTGAGAGTAGTGATGAGGAGTAGGTTACTGTTGTTATGTATGGCATGATGGGGGGACGGGATGGGTGAAAGGGCATTGTATCGGCGGGGTTTCAGGCTGTTGTGGATGGGTGGGTATAGCATGGCGTTTGGTAGTCATGGGTGGGTTTGTACACATGGCATTGAGCATCAAGAGACGTTGGGTTAGAATATGAGCTGGTTAGGGAAATTACCCGGTGTAATCCATGCGATAATTGTGATAAAACTCTGGAGTTGTCCTCCGTTACACGTTCAATCATCTTAATATCACTCACCAGTGGGGACACGCCGCAAGGTGGTCAACAACACAAGACTGCTCAACTGAGCAACCGCTTCAGTCCCTAGTGAATTCTTCGACTTCGCTTGTATCATTGTACACACATCAATCCTCAGACGTCATAATCAATACACACGCTGTTGTCTTCACATACTAACTCCTTTCAAGCCCCTTCTTCGCCCCCCTTTTGTTTACTCCTCCTGCCGCGCCAGATTCGAATGCAACTTATGCTGCTTCATGAACGAAATGCTGACCAACGCCGCCACCGCCAAAGCCAGCGCAAGCAGCCACACGCCCCTAAAGGCCTCCATAAACGACCGGATCACACCGTCATGCCAGCCCTCGGGCAACCTTGTAAGCTCACTCAGATCATCCCGAATACGCGCGATCTCCTCGGCCGCGCCCGGCAGGTGGCCAAAGCGCGCCCACAGACGCGCCTTGAGTATGTTCTGGTACACGGCCGACGCGGCCGTGATGCCTAGGGTGGCGCCCACGGAGCGGAAGAGGTAGGTCGAGGACGTGATGACGGCCTGGTGCGTGTGGTCGACTGCCGCTATGCACGCCAGCAGCGTTACCGTCAGCATGCCGCCGTAGCCGACGCCGTGGAGGATCATGGAGAGGAAGGGGATCCAGGCCGGGGCGTTTTCGTCGAGGGTGGTGTTGAGTGCGATGGCGGTGTTGAAGATCAGGAGTGTGGCGATGCCGAGGCCAACGTATCGCCCGGTCTTTTTCATGATGAAGCCGCAACCGATGGAGGAGAAGGAGACGCCAAGGGAGGATGATAGGATGCGCAGAGCGGCTTGGGTAGGGGAATAACCGAGAACCTGGAGGTAGAGCGGTATGTAGTACATGGTCATCATCATCACCATCGTGCTGCCGTCCTGTTAGTCCCGCATCTCGGTTTCGGAAGGATGGGATAGGGGTGATACATACCACAGGAAGCTGGTTATGCAGGCATTGAGAACGGTCCGGTCAAGGAGCAAGCGGACCGGGACAATAGGCTGCTTCGCCTTGCTCTCCCACCATATCAAAGCACCCAGCATGGTCACGCCCAGGGGGATGGTGGTCAGAACCAGGGGATCAGACCAGGGCAAGAGGTTGCCGCCGGCGTTTAGACCAAGCAGCACCAGGACGAGGAAGCCGACGGTCAGGAAGGAGCCGCCGTAATCTATACGCGCAAGCAACGACTTGTTGGAGACCTTGGGCGGGACGTCAACGAGGTACCACACCAGCAGGCCCGAGGCTGCGATAACGGGCACCTGGATGAGGAACGCCAACCGCCAGCCCCACGACGAGGTATCGTTGATGAAACCCCCCAACACACCCCCCATCATCGCTCCCGTCCCGTACGCAATATTCCCCAACCCCTGCACCACCCCCCTCTTCTTCAACGGCACCAGATCGGACCCCAAAAACGTGCTAATGCTCATCAACCCACCACCCCCAATCCCCGCAATCACGCGCCCCAGAATCATCACCGTCTCATCCCGCGCCAGACCACACACCAGATTCCCCACCCCAAACATGACATTGCTGAACACCAGCCCGGGGCCGCGGCCAAAAATGTCGGTCAGGCGCCCCGACAGCGGCTGGAAGGTGGCGTTGGCGATCAGGTAGGCGGTGGCCAGCCACGACAGCAGGCTCAGCGAGCGGAACTCGCTGGCGATGGGCGCCGACAGCGTCGCCATGATGGAGGCGTCCACCGCGCCGAGGAAGACGCCCACCCATGTTGCGCAGAGGGTTAGCCAGAGGCGGGTGGGGGTGAGGGTGCTGCTGCTAGGGAGGAGCGTGGTTTCGTCGGAGGGTTCGGGAGAGTGTGGTGGTTCTGCTTCTGTTTCGGCTTCAGTGCCTTGGGGGGGGCCGGTGGCGGATGGGGTGGAGATGGGGTCGGGCGGGATGTGTTGTAGGAGGGGGGTTGTTTCGTGGGGAGTGTGTGAAGACCCGGAGCGCGCCGGCTCCGGGTCGGGGTGGCCGAAGCTCATTTTTGGTTGGCGGTGAATTTGTCTGGAGGGAGGGAAGATAGCTTTGGGCTTGATTGGAAGAAATGAGAGGAATTGGAAAATTTGAAGGGACGTGACTGTAATTTTAATCGTCAATGGCTTGAAAGTGAGATTTCGTGGTCAAATTTGTGACTCAACAGCCAAAACATGAACGACGCCGGAAGAAAGAGGCCGTCTTGCGTGCTTGCCTTGCTCGGTGCTGCTCGGTGCTAATGCCGGCGGCTTCGGCTTTGTCCAACGGCAACGGAGACTGTTTTGACAGGGGCCGGATAGCGCCGGCAGGGGTTGTGGGGGTCATGATTGCGCTGTATTTATCTGTAAACATGTAATCTGGATATGCATGGGCTGTATGATAACTCGCGGCGGGTGGTCAGCAGCTTTGACCTTTGCACCAGCGCCGCCCATATGCATCGGTTAGGAGTTAAAGTATAGTTAAAACGGTGTCATGGTGGTATGTACTGGCTCATGGTAGAGGTTGGCGTCATTACACCGGATCTGGCAGCTGTTGGTAAGCTGGATGACCCTAACCCTTACCCCTGAACTATCTACCCCTGAACAACATCACCCGGCGATAGCAGCCCCCCAGATACGTTTCCGAGATAGGTACACAAAATACGCAGTCACTCAGCCCATGGCGGCCTTCAGTAGCTTTTGAGGGGTCTTCTTGCTTGGTGTTTTGAGAAAGGATAAAGTCAAGGCAGAAAGCTTAGTTCGGCAACCTGACTACCCAATTCCAACTCCTTATCAGGAACTACCCCTAGGTGCCTGCCTATCTCATCTGCTAGCTTGTTCATTCCAAGTCTTTTTAAAAGTTCTGGAGGAAATGGTATTCCCCCTCTTGGTTCACGTGGAAGTAGGTACCTAGCTATGAGTAGGGTGCTGTTTGCGAGTAGGGATTTGGGGGTTTAATTCAACCCACGAACTCCAATTCAAATTAAAGCTGGGTAAACTTGAGCAGAAATGCCTTCAGATTTCGTTGAACTTATCCGCTGCCGGAGTAGAGAACACACTTGGGGAGGCCCATGATAGAATTGGAGACCCTAAGAACTGTTAGCGGCCTTTGGGCCAATGACGATAACCATCTCCTTCTTCTCTCCCAACGTACCGGCTCCTTCAATGCTCTCCACTTCTATTTCCCCCGGTATCACCACTATACCCTCGAGGTTATACCCATGACGCAACGCCACTTCCGATGGGTTGATCTTGAATCCCTTATTCACGTCCGCCCCCATCTGCACTAGTAACTCGACCAGGCGGAAAGGAATGACCTCCTTCTGCACCAATACTTCAAGCGGCGTCATCTGGAGCCCCTTGTTCACGTCGGCGCCGTGATTTATTAGCAGGGTCATCATGCTCTCTGACATCTCGTCCGCGGCCGCCTCCAGCGGCGTCATCTGAATCCCCAAGTTCGGATCCGCGCGACGTTCAAGCAGCAGCCTCGCGGTCGGCAGGGACGACTTCTTCGCGGCCTTCTCCAGCGGTGTCATCTCTTTACCAATATTAACCCTGGCACCGGCATCAAGCAGACGTCTCATGACAGCAGTCGCATTCCACAACCCCGCCGCCGCCTCGAGGGGCGTCACATGACAACCCTCCTCCCCCTTAGCATCAGCGCCATGCTCCAACAACAGGTCAACCACCTTCGGATCCGAGTTCCCCACCGCCCTCTCCATCAAACCCGCCCAACCACCCGCTTTCTCCACATCCGCCCCCCTCTCCAACAACACCGCAACCACACCCACCGCCCCGCCACTACACGCCAACGCCAGCGGCCTCGTGGGCGTCCCCAAATCCACATCCGCCCCGCGATCCAACAACAACCTCACCACCGCCGGATGCTCCCTGGCCACCTCCAACGGCCGCGCATAACGCCCGCGGTTCGGATCCAACCCCCGATCCAGCAACATGGCCACGACCGCCTCGCGGCCCCCCGCCGCCGCGCACTCCAGCGGCGTATCGTACGTGCCCGCCGGCTCGATCTCGGCGCCGCGCTCCAGCAGCAGCCGCACCACCTCGTCTTTGCCGCCCGCCGCGGCGTCGTAGAGCGCGCTCTTGCCGCGGTAGTCGCGCGCCTCGATGTCCGCGCCGTGCGCGAGCAGCGTGTCGACGACGGCGAGGTGGCCGTGGCGCGCCGCGAGGTGCAGCGCCGTGCCCTCGAAGCCGAGGTGGTTTATGGCGGCGCTGGAGTGGGTCAGGAGCAGGGCGACCGTGCTGGCGTGGCCGAAGGTGGCGGCGGTTATGAGGGCTGATTCGAAGTAGTACTTGCGGGGCCGGGTGGGGGAAGAGGTGGCTTCGTCGGCGAGGACGCGGACGACGGGATCGAGCCCCAGGCGCGCTGCGAGGTAGAGCGGGGTGAGGATGCGGTCGCCGAGCCCGTCGCGCTTGTAGCCGGCCCATTTGTAGATGTTGGCCCAGCTGGCGAGGGCGTTTTCGTCGTCGTGGAAGAGGGCGAGGGCGAGGCGGTGGAGTTGCGGGTCGAGGGGGTCGCCTTCGTGGTAGTGGTCTGCCCAGCTGCTTGCGGCGTACGCGGCCAGGGGGTATTTGGCGTCGTACCCGAAGACCCAAGTCTCTGTCATGCACGCTTTGCACAGCGCTTCGTCCATGAGGTAGATTAGGCAGATGGACGCGACTTCGGTGTTGGCTTCCTTGCGTCTGACGCTGAATCGCGCCGTTCCCGAAGCAACAATGCGGTCGGATTCCAGGTACTCCTGGACCGAGTAATGCGCAATGCGTACCGTCGGTCCCCTGTCCTCGTTGTTCAAGTCCACTTCGATAAATCCCGGGCAGATGTGGCGGATGTCGTCCTGGTTCATCAGCCTGCTGTCCTCGTTGAACTTGGCATTGTCTCCGAGTTCGACCGCAATCCCGTCGATGAGCTCCTCCACCTTTAAGGGCCGCTTGGCTGTGCACAACAGGGTCAGGATTCTCCTGGCGTCGTCCACTGATTCCTCCTCGATGTTATACAGCATGCGTTCGTAGGTCTTGTCCAACGTCCGCGGTAGTGATCCGAGCAGGGCATCGAGCCGGGTCTTACTTCCGGGGCAAGCCTCCAACGCAGAGAATTGGCACTCGACCCAGCGAAACCTGTACAAGTCAGCCCTGGTGATCCCTTCTCTCCCATCTCCTAAACACAAAAAAAAAGGAAAAGCAAAACAAACAACAACAACAACAACAACAACAACAACAACAACAACAACAACAAAGAAAAAGGCGGCGGGGACTCACACTCCCTTCGCCCCCTCCGTCAACGCCTCCTCAATCCTCCCATGAAACCTCTCCCACTTCCTCAACCGTCTATTATCCTTCAAATGCCCCGCCACAAAAGCCGCAATATCCGCATCCACCTTCCCCCCCTTCAACACAACAACCTCCTCCTCCTCCAACACCAACTCCTCCCTTATATCCTGCTCATCGCGGCTCGTCACCAGGAGATGCAGCTCCGGCCCCGGCCAGCTGCGCATCTCGGCCAGCGCCTGCAGCAGGTCCTCGCGGTGCTTGTGGCGGGGGCTCTCGTCCAGCGCGTCGAGGATGATGTAGACGTCGTCGAAGCGCGTGATGAGCTGGTGGAGGGTGTCGAGGAGGGCGGGGTCGGGCGGGGTGCCGCCGCGGTAGTTTTGGTGGAGGCGCGGGAGGAGGGCGTCTTTGTTGTTGGTGGTGGTGGTGGTGGTGTGGAGTTGGAGCTGGGGGGCGAGCTGCAGGATCAGGGCGCGTAACATGGCTGAGGTGTCTTGCTTGGCGTCGTCGTTAAAGGTGAAGTAGAAGAAGGCGATGCCGATGGCGGGGTTGGAGCGGCGGTGGCGGAGGGTGTGTTGGATGATGGTGGACGAGAGGACCGATTTGCCGCAGCCGGCGAAGCCCTTGAGCCAGAGGAAGGAGTTGGCGGTTTGGAGCCAGGTGCTGAACTGGGGGCTTTTGATGAACCAGAGCCCCGTGCCGGGGTATTTCTTCTTGCAGGCGTCGTTGTAGTTGATGGAGGCGTCCGGGGCGTTGAGCCAGTTTTTGATCTCGGTCGATATCTGGTCGGCCCGGACCAGCTCGAGCAGGGCCTTGGTGTCCTGGATCTCATCCTGGACACTGCCGATATCCTGCTGCTGCAGGACCTGCAGGGCGAGTGTGAGGTTTGCGCATATCTCGGCGATGTCTTCGTCGAGTTTCTGGAGGGTGCTCTGGCGGAAGGGGTAGGCCAACCGACGGCCTGTCACACGTACTGCCGCCGTAACGCTGCCTGAGGCTGATTGTGTGAACTTTTCCGTCTCTTTCTCAAGTTCCTTGATAAGATCCTCGCAGTCGCCTACTGAGCTTTTGATGGTCTCGAGCAAAGACGTCTCGTCGGGTTGGAAGCTACGGTCGACCAAGTTCTTGCGTAGGACCTCCAAGATTCCCAGAAGATGTGTTAGCCGCTTTACCGTATGAGCCGTCTCCGATTCTCGATCCTTATATGCCGTGTAATACTTCACCAGGCCATCCGCAACTTGAATGCCGAGTGAGATGATTCCCACAATGGTCCCAACATCGGCCATCGTGGGTTAGTTACAGTACCTGGTGGGTTCGAAGTGACGTACGCATGAGAGAATGAAAAGCTATCGGGATAAAAAGACCTCATCAGAAGAAACCTCATTACTCGTGGTAACGTTAGATATGGTACCTTTACTGGGGCTCAGCCGCTTCGGGTGCCTCTCGGGGTGCGGAGTCGCGCGGGGGGCGCAGGTAATCAGGGATGTTTATTGGCAAGGCTGCGCGCCTCAAAGCGAATCCCTCCAGGCCACCATTTTACTCTCATCATCAAGAATGCGGCGTCCATGACGAAGAGCGTAAGAAGAGGCTGATGAATTGGGAATATTACAATGTCTCGGCTACTTCAAACCAGCTTCCAGACCCCGTCCTTGCTCTCGATTCTCACCTCCCTGTTCTCGTCGATACTTCGCCGCCCGGCCTCGAGAATGGCCGTAGTAGCAATCGTATTTCTCAGAGTCGGAAGTCCCTTCGCGTCCAGATCCGCGGGCTTTAGCTCTCGGGCATTAACGGCCCGGCAGCCGTCTACAAACTTCTCAAATGAGACGTAGCCGTACCCGCTCTGGCCGTTGAAGTTGCCATCTTCATCCGGGGCGTACCGCATGTAAAAGGGGTTGTACCACACCAGCTGCCCAGCCGCGTCGTCGGCCACATCGTAGCCGCGCTTGGCTTGGTTGATGGTAATCTCACCGTCCTTGGCGAGATAGTGGAAGTACTGGTTGGAGTGCACCCCGGCCTTGTGTGGCGCCGTCCACGAGGCCGTGTACACGCCAGTGGCCCGCTTGGACGGGTCGTCTTTCTTCTCCCAGTGCACCAGCAGCGAGATGGTATCCTCGGTTGATTCATGGCATCCCATGCTTACCGCAACGCCTTTGGACGCCGAGGCCGAGACCTTGGTCGGGACGTACCCCAGCTGGGAAACCATGGAGTCGCAGATGTCGACGTGGTGGCTATTGAGGTAATACGAAATGTCCGAGTCGATCCCGGCCCATGCCTTGAAAGTCTCGAGTTGGAACTTGGGCTGTGACATGTAACTGTAGAAGTAGTTGAAGTCCCCGAGCTTTAAGGCCCGGGCTTTCGCATCCCAATACGCAGGGTCGAACCGCTTGTGATGTTCGATGTACACGTAGACGCCGCGTTTCTCAGCCGCGTCGAGGAGGGCAAGGTGGTGCTCCAGCAACTTCACAGCTGGCTTGGTGATCATGACGTGGATGCCCCGTTCGATGGCGTAGAGGGCGATGGGGTAATGCGTGGTATCGGGGGTAAAGATGGTGATGGCATCGCCGGGCGAGAGGGCGTCAATCGCCGCCTTGTACGCGTCGGGGTCTTTGGCATCGTCTGCCGGGTACGATTTGAACGATGTGTCCAAGTTGTTGTAAGCCAGCGTAATGTTCTTGTGAAGGTGCTCCCCTGCGAGATACCGTCATTAGATGTCGTGTCACGGCGGGATGGGATATGTTGCAGCTTACGGATTGCTGGGTATTTCGTCCCATTGACGCCCACCATAGACAGTTCGCCCACCTTGCCTCTCCTCCGAAGGTCGAACAGGGTCAGGCCCACAACGCCAACTTTCTTATCCGAACCAGACGCTCCACCGCCCACAAAGCCGGTGGTGTACTCGCCGGTCCCGACCTTGGCCGTCGTCAGCCCGCGCACATCAATGGCATCAATTTCTCTGAGCTTACCATCAACACATTGAGGGCCGCCATTGTGACTGCGCTTGGAGGGTATCCGGGTATTGAATTGAGGTTGAGTGAAGCTGCTGTGGAGAGGTGTAGACGGCTTGGGGAGGGAAATACCGTGGAAACCCCAAGGGACAAGAGCCCAATTATCGGAGAGCCGAGCACAGCGCCGTCGGCATCTCACCTTGATTTCCAATTCAATTCATCCCCAGGATGGAACGGCCTCATGCACAAGCATCGCCGGGAACACGCTGCTTGGAGCCGTTCCGGAAGAATTCGTGATGAGGGGTACATGTAACAATGGGTGGAAAGAGGGGCCAGTTGGGGCTTTGGAGGGGCAATGGAGGGGCATTGAGGAACATGTGCGGTAGTTAGGTATTGTCACAGACTGTTCCCGCTGTTCTCTCAGCTCGTTCATTTGTGGAATGTTTTCAGCCTGCGTTGCGAAAAGTCCTCAGGTCTCCGCCCGTGAAGATCACACAGCGCTTCAAGTTGGAGCTGCTGGAGAGCCGTTGAAAAGTTCAATTCAGGAGATCGCAAGCCCTGGTCGGCCACTGGTGGATTGCGGGGCATTGGGGAAGCCAAGTCCAAGCTGCCAAGACGGCTGGATCCACTCTCGAGTTGGACCCACCCCCACGTTTCTTCCCCGCATCAAAGCTTCCGCTGCAGTTAATCAGGCGAAATCGAGGAATATCAACTTCGCTTCCTTCTGAACGCGTTTTCCATCTTTTTCTGGCTACGACGGCGATGAGTAGAATAACACCAAACATCGGGTTATGCTAACCACGGTCCTTTTTTCTCACTGTGGAAATGTTGCCGTCCACTTCTCTCTTTTTTTTTCTTTGCATCACGACATTTTCGAAGCCGAGAACTCGCAGAATGGAGCGCTTGTCATGATTGGCGGAATCCATTTTTCCGTCTCACACCGAGCAAACGAGCTTGAACCCGTGTCGCTTCCCTCGACTTCACATCACCCGAGTTGTTGTCGAGATCCATCCTCACCCCAACGAATGCGGGGAGAACTGGGGGACTGACACGGTACCCCTCTTACGTATCCTCCCGGCGACTCACCTCAGTAGTTCTCGCGACCCGGGCACGCTTCCCTTGGCCTTGCTGTCCGTCTTTCCGAGCCCAGTTTTCGTTCTTCCGTGGCCTTCACCTCCATGAAGCGTGGCTTCTTTCCGCATGTTTATTACCGGCATCCATGTGTGTCATGCGGGGTATGGAGATTACCCCAGCCGATACCCCGCCACTCCGCCGCCATCCCGCACCTCCCTCCGGCGACATCATCGCGAAGCCGGATCAGCCTTAAGTCAGAATCTGTGTTACCAAATCCGACTCCAAGGGCTATCAATGGCTTTGGCAACCCGCAGGTTCATGCGCTTGCCTCTGCTTTCGAAGCTTCCAGGCCACCCCATACACGACGGAGCCATAAGTTGACCAAACGTTGGTCTTCCATGGGCTCCGCAACGTGGCAGCCAAAGCGCCCACTTACACCTTCTCCGTGGCTTGAATCCCGAGCCAATCAGGTATACCCGCAGATCACCGCGACCGGCACCCAGATCCTGGCTCGTACCCCCGGTTGCCAGTGGGATGCCTCCTGGTGATCCATGGGGATGACCTGTCCCAAGACTCTGGTTCCCTTCTTCTGGGTCTCCCAGACGGTTGTCATGAGCGTTGGACCTCAATCAAGAGCTGCTTGGCTGGACCCGGCTGCCGGGACTAGTTAGTTCTAGTAATCTGCGCCGTGTCTTCTGCCGGTCTACCGAGTCTCGATGCCTATCCCACGGCTGTCAATGGTACTTCGGTGCGTGATTTCTGGTCCAATCGAGCAATATATTACCCCGATATAGCAGCCCAGAAGTAAACCTGCCGAGCCCACCACCCTGCGTGGAGTGGTGGTCGCGGAGATCCATGTTTTCCCGTTTCTTCCCCAGAGTTTCAGCCCCGTCGGCTTCTGGCGTGGGCGTTTGGCCAGGTCTCGCCCACAAAGACCGGCCCCACGACCTCCACCGCCCCCGTTTGTCCCAGTATCTCATTCGGGCTCCTCGCAGGCCATAGACGTCCAACTATCCCGACACAGTCCGGGACCCCACCGGCCCTGGTCGAGCTTAGGTCATGGAACCTTTGTTCGCGTTGCGACCCCCATTTTCCTTCATAAGCCGTCATCTGTCCGCCTTTACCGTCTCGTCTTCTTCTGCCCTCCATTCCCGTCCTCCCCCACGTGCCCTTGCTTTCCACCACGTATTGACCTCCCGTTGTCTCTCCCTTTCCATTCATACCCGCTCCCACGTCCCGCTACCCCGAACCATCATGACTGTTGGCAACGGCACCGCCAATGGCGGCCAAACCACCCGGCGGCCGCTCCCATGCGGCATCTACGCGCCCACCATGACCTTCTTCGACCCAGAAACCGAAGACCTCGACATCCCCACTATCAAGAAGCACGCCGAGCGCCTGGTCCGGGACGGCCTCGTAGGCCTGGTCACCATGGGCTCCAACGGCGAAGCCATCCACTGCACACGAGAGGAAAAGCTGGGCCGTCACGCAGGCCACCCGAGAAGCCCTCGACGCAGCGGGCTTCACCCAAACCCCCATCATCATTCGGCGCCACCGAGGGCAGCGTCCGCGGCACCATCGAGCTCTGCCAACAAGCGGCGTCCGCCGGCGCCGACTACGCCTTGCTCCTCCCCCCATCCTACTTCCGCGGCCCTCATGGACGAGCAATCCATCCACGACTACTTCACCCAAGTCGCCGGACGCCAGTCCCGCTCCACCTCATCCTCTACAACTACCCGAGGCGCCGTCGCCGGACATCGACATGGACTCGGACCTGCTCATCCGCCTCGCCGCCCACCCCAACATCGCCGGCACCAAATTCACCTGCGGCAACACCGGCAAACTCACCCGCGTGGCCCTCGCCACCGACGCCAAAACCCCATCCTCCCCAGGCTCGGGCTACATGGCCTTCGGCGGCATGTGCGACTTCACGGTGCAGACCCTCGCCAGCGGCGGCAGCGGCATCATCGCGGGGGGCGCCAACGTGATGCCCAAGGTGTGCGTGCGCGTGTGGGACCTGTACGCGGCGGGCAAGACGGCGGAGGCGGTCGCACTGCAGCGCACGCTGGCCCGGGGGGACTGGGTGCTCACCAAGGCGGCGATTGCGGGGACCAAGCAGGCGATTCAGAGCTATTTTGGCTATGGGGGGTTTCCGAGGCGGCCGTTGAAGAGGTTGGATAAGGCGAGGGTGGCGGCGATTGAGGAGGGGGTGAGGGAGGTGATGGAGGTGGAGAGGTCGTTATAGGGTGGGTTGTTGTTGTTGTGAGGGGGTTATGAGGGGGTGTGTAAGGGGGTGGTGGTTGGTTGAGCGGGTGGGTGGTGTCTTGCTGTATACCTTATTCTGGATGTGTAAAAGGGGTGCAGTCGTGGGTTGGTGGGGGGCGGGTTGTTATTTAGGAGGGATCTATCATGCCAGACATAAAACTGGCGATTTAGCTAATGCATTGCACATAGGTAGTAAATGGCATCTGGGTATCGTTGGGCGAGCATATCAGGGGATAAATGCAGCTTGTATGTATGTGTTCGACGAGGTACGCCAAGCAGTCATCGCCAAGTATGCGCCCAAGACCACCTTCCTACGATAAGCGCCCGACATGAAATCAAAGGACAAGTAGTGAACAAACAAAGCAATTACCCAGGCAAGATCAGAGGGGAATTAATTGACTGCGAAAAGACCGGTAGGCCAACGACGGGTGCATCATAACGTCTATATAAGTGGCTGTGAAGACCAAGGAAATTTCATGAGAAAGAGCCGTAAAGAAAAGAGGTTTCCTTCACCGCTAGAACCTTGCTTCCACTCATGATGCCCCTAGATAACGCCTTTAAACCCTGTAAATACCCCCCCCCCCACCCCCGACCTCAAACCTTAAACTTCCTCGGATCCAGCCGCTCCACCTCCTTATCCGTCTCATCCCCAAAGATCATACCCGCCATGAGGTAGCCCGTCCCCGGGCCGTTCTGTATCCCCCAGCAGGTATGCCCCGCGGCGACCCACAAGCCCGGTACCGAGGTCGGGCCGATCAGCGGGCCGCGCTGCTCGCCGAATCGGACGTGCTGCGGCAGGTAACAGGCCTGGCGGGCCTTGACTGGGGCAGCGGCTAGAGCAGGCGAGACGGTGGCGATGTAGGCGACGAGGTCGTCGCATTGGGACTGGTCGACCGAAACCTCGTCGGTGGTGGCAGGCAGGGGGATCGTTTTGTCGGTTTCGCCTTTATTTGCGTGTTAGCCCGTCTTGTTGTCTCCTTCTTTCTTTCCAGGGAATAGTGATCTCTTACCACATGCGTACACTTCCCCAAACGGACGGGCGTATATCTCTGGGTCGACATTCCCCTTATGGCGCCGTTTTTGGCCCTGGTTGGCGCGGTGGTCGGGGGTGTAGTCTGTTGGTAATTGGATATCGGTGAAAACTGCGTAGGGGCTGACGTCGGCTTCGAAGACCACGCTGTGGGCACGCAGACCTTCGATTCTCGTCCGCGGGATGAGCTTCCCCGTCCACGGCCCCGCCGCAACGATGACATCAGTTACGCCGGTGATGGTATGCAATTCCCCTGTATCGCGGTCCTCATAGGCGACGCTGTGCACGCCAGCTATCCTCGTGTCGTGGATTTTGGTGACCCTAGCCCGCAGCCGGATGTCGGCCCCTTTCTCCTTTGCTAGATCGGCCATGGCGTTGGTGAAGTAGAAGGGGTGGACTTGAGATGTTTCTGTCGACCCCGGGGAGCCCATCTCTTCGTAGTGATGGACTAACCTGCCATCGATCCAGTCTAGATCGGAGGGCAATGGGGAGTCTTGTAGTAAATCTGTTGCCCGGGCGTCTTGCTTTGGGAGTTTCTCCCAATCCTTCGTCGTATCGTCTGAAACGGTGCTTGGTATAGGAAGGTCGCCATTGGTACCGTTGTCTGCTGGAGGTGGGGGTTTCGATGACCTCTGTTGTAGATCATACGCTTTAACTACAGCAGCGAGGCTGCCACATCCAAGACGGCGGTAACCCCATCGCTTTGCCCCATTGTGTTCGGCTGCGAGTTCTCTGTGTAGACGGTAGGATAGCGGTACGAGGCAGGTCGGGTAGGCCCATAGCCCCAACAGGCCGCCGGCTTTGCCTGATGCGCCCGAGGCGATGGCGGTCGCTTCGAGGAGTGTGACGGTGTGCAAGGCGGGATTGAAGTTGGGATGGCGTGTGAGGTAATAGGCCGTTGTGCATCCGATGATGCCGCCGCCTGCCGGTTAGACTGCATGAGCTTTACTTGTTTTTGTCTTTTTCCCGCGCATCTGGCAGGGTTCGAGGGGGGACTCGAATTGACGTACCAACAATGACAATGTTCCTCTTCTGCTGCGCATCCATGGTTGCTGCGCCTGGAACTGCGGCGGTATCGCAGGATATAAAGCTAAACCTCGGAATAAATTAGGCGATATATATCAGTAGTTCCTTCTAGACCTCAAGCCGCGTGATAGAGCACCGATTTGTCGAACTCGAATTGGGACCAAAGCAACTTCTCTCTGGCGCGATGATGCTCTGGCAGTCGCTTGGTTGCTGGTCGCAGCGCCCAGACGGCCCGCTGTTGGTGCGTCATTCTGCTGCCCTGGCTCAAGCTTCTGACAGGTGGGGCACCCCACGTGGCGGGGGACCGAGTATTTCATTGTTCGCGCCCAGTCGATCGGATCGAACAAAGGATAGGATTTATGGATAATATGGAAAGTGAATCTCGGCGGTATACATGAGATACTTCAATTATCGCCCATCCAGCCCTTATCAAATCGACGCTAGAATTTCTTGTCTTGGATCTTGATACAACTGGAGGCAAGGCAAATGCCCAAGCAGTGGATAACGAGGGGCAGCAACAGTGGGGTTCGACAAAATGCCCCTGCAGCAACCTCGGCGCAAGTCCCTGGTCCCAACTTCACCCAAGATCAGACGACGCTTCTGGAACTCCAAATGGCAGTATTTTAAGTCCGAGTTCGCGTTCAAATATCGCGATGGGTAGCGGAAAGGAGAATAGCCGAGGCATGCCTAATTTCTGTAGGCACGATTACTGTGCTCACTCAAGTCAGTGCCGAGGGCGCCGTGACTGTCCTGGAGCATGAACCAGAGAAGGAGCAAACCGCCTGCGGCTTGAACCCCGAAGCGAATCGGCCAATAGGATAGCCCGGCAGGTTGCGTGAACACAGTCTGGAACAAGAAGCTGGACCCCACACAAGCTTGCCTCTCGGTCCGAACCCTCCTTCTCCCCTTCTTAATGCACCTCTTCCCTTATCAATTTCTCCCCGATATCCTGACCGATGCTTCTCTCGACATCATCCATGCCCATCTCCCGCCGGCTGGTAACTCGCCTTCCGTACATTTGCACATCGACAACAAGACTATCAATATCAACTACGTCATACAGTTTACGCCATTTGCACTCGTCGCCTTCACAGCGCCTCGGATTCACACCCACCATTACCCCTTTGAACCACCAGCTCCCCCTCCGTAGATCATTCGCAACCATGGCTTCCGCTACAACCTTCTACGACTTCAAGCCCCTCGACAGTATGTGATTCCCTTTCACTGAACTGATTTCACACCATCTCCCAAACACGCCACCCACTAACCCTGCCCCCCCCCCCCCCCCCCACCAGAAACCGGCGCCGAGGTCCCCCTCGAGGACTACAAGGGCAAGGTCGTCCTCGTCGTCAACACGGCCTCCAAGTGCGGCTTCACCCCGCAGTTCGCCGGCCTGGAGAAGCTGTGGAAGTCGGTGCGGGAGCAACACCCGGACGACTTTGTCATCCTGGGCTTCCCCTGCAACCAGTTCGGCGGCCAGGACCCCGGCACCAACGAGGAGATCCAAGAGTTCTGCCAGATCAACTACGGCGTCACCTTCCCCGTCCTCGGTAAGGTCGACGTCAACGGCGACAACGCCAGCCCCGTCTTTGAGTGGCTCAAGGCGGAGAAGCCCGGTCTGCTGGGCATGAAGCGGGTCAAGTGGAACTTTGAGAAGTTTCTGGTGAGCAAGGATGGTGCCGTGAAGAGGCGCTGGGCGTCAACTACGAAGCCGGAGTCGCTGGAGAGTGTGATCCTGGCTGAGTTGGCTAAGCAGTGAGCTGGTGGTGGCGGTTCGGGATTTGGTGAGAGCGAGTGCCAGTGCTTATACCCAGTTTGTACGATTTGCGGCGAGGGCTTTTGCGATGGAGTTAGATGGGGGGATGGTTATTGAGTCTAAGAATTAGCGATAAAGCGTTGAGGATGGTTGATCGGCGGGTGTTCTGTGAGATTGTTTCTGAAGCACAAGCCAGGACCAACTTCCTGCTTGACACAAGTCTCTTATAAGTACCCCCATTTTACTATCTTGGCAACTCCAAAGTCACGGTTCTGTCATCGACCCATCAACGACCCTGAGTGGCGATGAAGCCACTAGTAGATAACGTGGTGCTTCATGGCCCGACGACGGATGTCGGGACTAGCCTCCATGCTCCCGCCATCTTAGAATCCTCACTATGATCTCGCATATCTTCCACGAGTTATCCGTGCCCTCAAGGCGGTTTATCGGTGGTAGTCAGAGATGCTAGAAGCACCGGAAACGGGTCCGATGTCAATTCCTCTTGAAACGTACTTTTATACAACTTGGTTGCAGTGAGAGAAGTAAAAGTACTGCCTTCATATGTATTTCCATCTGGTCATAAACGGAGTTGTAGCCTTATCAGCTGCCTACCGAACCAACCCAATTCTCTTCCACCATACCCCTCAGACCAGTAAACATTCCTGAAAGAAATCCCCAACTACACTATGCCCTTCTTTCACTGTCTGGATTATTCTCTAGTAAGAAATCAGAAGTCTTGGGGCATATGGCGCCACTACCATCACCTCCCTGTTAGACAGATACGCATCGATACTTCGATTTCCCTTAAAGTCTGGCGAACTGCAACCCACTCGGGTTCTCAGACGAATGAGTGAGAAAAGTGGATTGAGGGATGATTTTGAGAAGGTGCTTGTTTATTTATACATCACTTGGTTTTCTCGGCTTGCTGGCGTGGCTCACGCTCTCTCTAACTAGGGAAAGTGGGCTGACCGGACTAATACATGACTTGACAACCACGCTGAGCATGGTTAACTCCTTACTTTGTTCGTAACGGCAGTCCAATAGCAACCTAGTAACGTGTTAACTCTGTCTTTATGTTGGCTTGTCTACAGGACCGTTACCTAAACTCAAATCACTCCCCGTCGCCTACGTTGCCACCAATATTGATGTTGTAAACCAATGCTGATAGCTGCCTTGATACTAGCAACTTAGCTCCCTGTGTTCTCGTGTCTAGAACAAGCACGGGAGCCCTACTAATAAGATAAGACAACCTACAAGTGTAAGGGCAATTGCCAAAGCAGGAACAACTTTGCAAGAAGCCACCATCAGCCATCCTTCAGTGTTCATAGCCGAGTCACTGACATGGATCTGTCAAGACCATCTTTCATGATATTTCCTAACCTACGTCATCCCTTCCACCAAGCTCTCGGGTGAAAGGGGTAAGTGTGATATCGGGTGTCTCGGTGACCCAGCAGTGTTCCATCGTGTATCCTCAACCCACCGTGTACAAACAATCTTGGCCAAGGCTTAACAACCGTACAACATCACTGCTGGACGCTGCCGACAAGCGGCGGCACCGCCTACCTGCTCTCCCTCGACAACGATCAAGTACAGAGCGGTACCCGCCATCCATGGATGAACAGTAGCCAAGCTAGAGAGTAGCCATCGCCGAATTGACGATCGGCCCAGCCGAAAGCAACCCGCCCAGATCTCAGATTCCGTCCGTAAATCCGCCGCCCAGTTCCGGGTCCGTACGACCAGTGGCGTTCTCGGAGCCCGGATCCGACGTGTCACCCTCGGTTCGTATTGTCTAGGAAAGATTACTCCTTTGGTAAAATCAGGATCAGGATCAGGATCAGGATGGGAATACGAACGATGACAGCATTGTTTAAGCCTCATGGGTCCGGGAGGGAGGGGGGTTACAAGCGCGATGGTTTACGGAGGAGACCCAAGGCCAAGTTCGCCCTCGAGTCCTCATTAAACGTTGTTTGATGACACCACGGGTGAAAGAGGTCACCCAAGGTGGCTTGTCCTGCGGGCATCGGCTCGGAATCCATCGGGGTCAGTCAAATGTGAAGGGTAAGGAGACTCCTCCCGAGTCACGGAACGAAAAAAAAGAGCCATGCATCGGGATCCGCGCTCCCGCTGCCCTGGGCTGAATATGCAGCGTCACGCGAGATGCAGTACCGCGTGCGCCCTTCGAGCCCGTACGGCTCCGCAACACTGGCCGGTATTGGTCACGAGGAGCGTTCCATTCTATTCAGGAACAGCGTCTTGGATGTTCACCGCCCGGGATGACCAAACGCTTACCTTGCTGGTAGCACAGAGGAGCTGGGTGTAGGTTGGGAGAGGGAGATGTGGCTCGGCCCATCTCTTCTCCGGGTGTTGGTTGCTTCACTGCTACATTGCCTCCCTTCCCATTTCACGTGGGGGCCGTCGAGCCAAGCGGTATCACCCACCGCAGCGCAAGAAATAGAAACCGGTGTGGGCGATGAAAGCAATGCAAGGGATATTGGGTATGCGTGGAGGAGTGTAAACATCGATAACCCCGAGAAAAGATGTCTTCGTCTTCCGAGTACCTAGGATAAGGTTTGCGCCGCAACGGGCAAGTGTTTGCCTCTGTGCATCACCACCAAGCTTCGAAACACCGCGTCAAGTACCCAGAAGTAGCAACCCAAGAAGTCAGAGATGCTATCCATTATATGAAGAGACCTCCTTTCCCGACTTTCTTTACACCCACTGCTGGATAAGGGCTTGGTGAGACTGGTCTATGCATCAGACCGCGTGGGACAACAACGGCAGCGGTTCTTCTTCACCTCTTATAAGCATTGAGAGCAGCATGCAGTGTTGCTCCAAAGAATAAGCAAAGCAATATATAGCTTCCGACAAGCGAGGGAGACATCGTAAGCCCAAATACCCCATCGCTACATCGCTACCCGGAGTCGCCTCCACCTGAGGTCATCCGTCACACATGGAATGAGTCGGGTGGCCCATGTCCCTTTACTTTCGTCACTTTCTTTGTGCGCCTGGCGCGCAATAGGGACGGGTCACGACACGGGTCGAGATTTAATGCGTTATGGATTTGCATAGGGCTACTGCGTGCACGGTTTGACAAGGCGAACGCTGTTTTCATCGCCGAGTCATGAATAGGGGAGTCAAGGGGGCGTCCCGATGGGCATTGCCCAGGAGCGGGCGGGGGACTGAGTCAAGAGCCGCGGAAAGGATAACCCATTGTAGGCAAGGCTCAATGTCCGTTGGCTGCTGGGGTTGACTGAGCGAGCCTGTCTCAGTTCGGGCTCGAAGATATCGACGCTTGCCATGCGGCGTGGTGTCTGAGTTGAGCGGGTCTGGACAACAAAAAGGGGTCAGACGAACAAAGGACCCCTTCTCCATGGAAGTTCCATGGGCACGGGGTACATGGTGAGACATTGGAGGTTGGAGTCGAGATTGGTTCCAAGCGGGCGGGATGGCTGACCTGGCCCCGCGTGTATCCGCTTCCCCCTCCGCCTCCCCTCCGCCAGCCACACCGCGCACACCAACCCATCGGGGATCGGCCTGTTCGTGGCGAGAGATCGGCATGATCTGCTGCGAGGCATCGTAGGCGCCAGCTTGAGGGTTGGGCGAATGATGATGAAAGAAAAGAGGACCTGACGGGAATGCGGCACCAACAGCGTCATGACCCGAGTGTTTTCCAATTTTGAACCCAGGCGAGTCAGGAAGGCAAAAGCCACGAAGTGTATGAAGTATGAATGCTGCGAACAGTCTGACGTCCAAAATACTCAACCTGATTTCTCAGCATCGGGTCGACTGCCGGATACATTGACACCTTGGCGTTACCGGCGAGCCATGGGAGAGACAAGGCGGCGGTACGCAGCACACAAGAACCCCCTGTTTCTGGGCCTGAACTGTCTGAGCGTGCGACTGCAACGACGCCACGCTTTTGGGACCTGGGCTTCGGTGACAGAAAGGGGGTTAGGGCAGGGCCAAGACGCGGGGAGACCGTGCACGATCAGCTAGGAATCGGAACCTTGCCGGACGCGGCAAGGCGCTGCCAGAGCGATTGCAACGTTTCATCCGTCCCAACGGTCGGAGAGAGCCGTGAGGGCAATCACAGAGAAGAGGCGCTTGCGATGAGCCTGTGATAAGAGGTCATCGCGCCCCGAGCAGGTGCCAGAGGCTTGACGAGATCATAGAAGTTACTGGATTTAAAATAGGATCAAGAGGGTGGAGATGATCTCGTGGGTGTTGAGAGGGGACAATTAATTTGGAATGCTGTGAAGCTGACTGGTAGAGGGCGGCTTGGTGACGGGTTGGTGCTTGATGGCGCAAGCTTCAGCTGCATGATGCAGTGCTTCCGATGTGATGCACAACTGCTGCAAACTTGGACAATGCTTCTTGTTTTCGGTCTCGCGGCTCTCGCCTGGCGCAAATATCCGATGGGAGCGCGGTCAACCAGTCGGCGAAAAGGCATCTGCGAACTTTACACAGTCCTTGGTAAGTTATAAGCCGGGTGATGATAAGTGGCTTGGCCTCGGGTCTGGCTTTTGTGATTATCAGCTGAAGTCGAGCTAGCGAGACGAGGCCGGCGTCGCTGCCGAGGCGCCCTCCAAGTTTGTTGCGCAGATGGTTAGGCGGAAGCCAAGACGCGGTGCCGTGAAGCGGCGTCAGGAAAAGGGCCGTTTTCTCCAGCCACATCTCTGGGCTTGCATCCACGTCCCCGGCATCCCACTGGCCGCTTCAAGGAACCCGTGCAAAGCTTGGGTGTCGCGTGCAGCCAATAGCAGGTGCATCCGACTCTCGGCCATTGCCAAAATCGGTGGAGCCGACCGGTGCAGGGCTCAAGGAGAGGGCAGCGGCAGCGGTCAGTGGTTGTTCACACAACCCCAAGGCTGTTCAAGACAGGTCGACTCAGCAGAAGCGGCTCACTGGCAGGCTGAAAGACGGCACCTGTCTCAAACGACGATCAGTTCGACAGTGCTTGATGACAGAGACACGGTTGTCAGGAGTGATTCGCCGCCTGTATCTCAGGGATCGGCATTGCTCTGCAGCTGATGAAGTGGGCTTTTGGGTCTGCGGCCGGCGCCGAAGCCGCAAGCAGTTTTGTCCACGCGAGCACGTGAAGGAGAAGGACCCCCGACCGGCATATCTTGCCCTCCCGTGTGGAGCAGAGGGAGTAAGCGAGAAGTTTACTTCGTAGATGCCTAACAAAGCCAACCGACACCTCGGAGGACGCGATGGCATGGCCAGCAAATCGTTACAGTAGATGGCCGCGATAAAGGCGGGCGGAAGATCAGGCATCTCCGGGTTTCGGCCGAGGTTGTCTGCTCCGCAATCCAAGCTTCTCGCGGATGGAGGAGAAAAATGCTGAGCCTAAGACCCACGTCAGTGTTGATGTCCTGTGTAAAGCCAAAATGCCTGGTGGGTGTAAAAAGTGACCCCCATCGATGGTTTTGAGATGCTGAAACGGCGGAGGCACAATGAGACAACCCAAATCCGTCACCGGGCGGTCGATTGAGATGCTGCCGAGGGACTGCTCAGCCATGGGTTTATTCCCCGTGGTTGTCTAGCGTTGTTCTCACTAGCTAGTTAGTTCGTTGCCTCGCCGTTTGATGAGTGTTGAACAAGCATGATTCCATGTCTTTTGGCCGTGTGATGGATGAGGCATGAATCCGGTAGCTTGGCGGTTGAGACCAAGACGGATCAACACCACACAATCTCCGTCTGGAGACGGGGAAACTTCGAGTGAAGACGCTAATCGGTTGGAATGTTTTATGCTAAAATCACTGGCCAATGGCTAGAGGAGAAATGAGGGCTGTTGAACGCTAAGAAGCTGGGGTACCTTGTGGATTTGAGATGGAGTCCTGGGAGTGGAATCTTTTCGGTTGGCGTGACAAGCGGTCGGTCGGCCCTTCATCAGCGGCCTGCGACGTGCTTGGCGACCCGGAACTGGGAACCCCGACAAACTCCGTTCTCCGTCACCACCTGCCCCCGGCTTCCGGCTTGGTTCCGGAGTCGTGGCAAGACGTGAGAGTTAGCACGAGCGGATATGAATAATTACGGCTGTCCGGCCATATTGCGGTTGTTGGGTAAGCGTCCAAAGGCCCAGCTTCTTTGTCGATGGGCCAACCGCACCAGCGGCGAAGTGGCCAGCAATTTCGGCGGGCTCCGGAGTCCTCGGCGTCGTATCTCGACCTTCCCCACGACCTATCCTGCCCATTGCGTTCACCGGGTGATCGATAAGCAGCCCTCCTCATCTGCCCGCACAGAAGGTCGGTGGAAGCCCGCGTAGAAGCCTTCGGTGGGGGCTGTGGCCACTGCATGAGTAAGTCAAAGGCCAAACGGCGGGGTGGTCCGCCGACCGGCTGGTTGCCATCGAAGGTTAACAGCTCGAGAGGGTTCGTCGGTTTTGGGGGTCATGCGTTTGCGAGTGTCGGTCCTCAGAGCAGCGTATAGGCGAGTGAGAGGGCAATCAAGAGAAGCTTATCAATTGAAGTCCCCCCCCCCCCCCCCAGACGGCCTCATGGGGCAGGTGTTTCGCCGCTTCACAAGGCCGGTCTTGCATATGTATTATCGCTGGTTTTCTGACCCAGCAACCGAGATAAGCGGCCCCTCGACTATGAGCTCCGCGACAACAACGATATGTATGTAACGACGAACCCCCACGCCCGGCTCATGGCGTCGTTTCGCGTGCTTCCGCTGCTTTGTGAGAAGTGGAGTAGGAAAAAAGCCTACCGCCTGGCTAATGGTTCACCACTAACCAAGCAATGCCCGAGAGGTTTCGCTCCCAGATGTGAACGACGTCGCCGTCCCGAGACTCTTCTAGTCATGGTAATCGAAGGCGAGCGGAACGGCAACATTGGCAGAGACAGATGCCGGTTCCTTTGCTTTGAGCAACGCTGATACCGATATTATCTAATGAGTCTCCTAGAGTTCGTCTGATAACCAACCAGGTGGGGTGCTGGAGTCTGATACTCGGAGACGGCGGTAGGCGGGCCACTGCAAACCCACTCAACGTTGACCTCGGGTTGGAGCGCTAAACCTCACCTGCCGAAACTGCAGCCAGCCGAAAAGGCACAAAAACTATTCGCGATGGCTGTCTGGTGGGTTTAGCGAAATGTGAGTCGCCCCAAGGCGAAGACGATTTGAAACAGGTGTTCGTTCTCCTGGGGAGGGTTGGGATGGGACTTCTTTGAAGATGGGGAGGAAGATCCCATTGTGATGTGTGAGCAAGGAAGGAAAGTCGAGGGGCACAGTGGGTTGCAATTGGCCAGGGCTTGAAATGACTTTCCCATCCAATGAGCGTCCTGTTTGTATTGTTCCCCAGGAATCATGCCTGCCATTTTCTTCAGCTTCATACCTGCGTGCCTGGCAGCGCCTGCCTCAACCTGGAAGCCCTGTGGTCCCCACTCCTCGTCGCCCACTTTTCAGATGGAAAAAGCGCTTCGGATGATGGAATCCGCTACGAGAAACTCGTGCTGCCCTCGAGACCCTGCAATCGGCAACTCTCCCTTCAGCAAGTTCGCAAAACCCATGCGCGGCTTTTGAGCCCCGTTTCTGGCAAGGATACCGATGCGTGCCCGAACGCTTTTTCTGAAAGTTGCGGGTTCCCCGAAATCACGTCAAGGAAGGAATCCGGCAGCTATTTGGTCTGAATTCCGCATGGCACTTTTACGTTGTATCTTGTCCCGCGTGTTCTCTTGCAACCCCCAGCTGCAGTTTCAAATCCTTTCTGTAAGCTTTTGCTTGTCTGTTCCGACTTGTTGACCGCGCAATCGCGGTACCGTCCCGCCCCTGGCGCCATCCGCCATCGCCCTGGTCGAAGTTGGCCAGGGATTGCATCGATGGATGGGGTGTGGGCCTCGGCAGCCCTTGAGACCCCCTGCCCTTGCGGACCTGCACACCCCCCCGTCCGCCTGTCGCCGCCCCAATTCCCGATTCCCAGCCGTTGCACCACTCACCCACTGAAGGGCCGCCTCCACATCGGGGGCTATTTTGCGCTTGGGGGGTACCGAGGGAATCTTGGTGTGGATGTACCTCAGAGTACCCGACCCCAGGCCTTGCCCACGAAAAGGAAGGGAGGGGGGGTGCTGCTGCTGCTCTGGGCTGGCTGGACATGGGGCCGCACCACAAGCGTCTGCCGCGGTGGTCAGTGAGAAACACCCACATTCTGATTAAAACATGCATGCCCTTCTGCTTCTGCCCGCAAACCCTGCTTGACCCAGGTGTTGAACCTTCTTGACTTCCCCTTTGCCACACCAGGTCTCATTGTCACTCGACCACAGTGCTATGGGCCGTCAGTTTCTCCATATTCCCGCCGATTTACCCACATCAGTCAGCTGCTGTCCATTGGAAGCCAGGCTTTTTCTTGGATAGCATTGACTTTTGTCGCCCCGTTGCCCTGGATTTGCCTTCTCATAACACAGGACTTTGGAAACCCGGAGCCCAGTATCTGCAGAAGCGAAGACGGACGAAGGATTGCCCTGGACATCGGTTCCAACGAGACACTTCGCCATGACCGCCCCAATCAACACACCGGCGACCTCGACGGCAAAGGATGCTGCTTCCGCGAGGAAGCGCAGGAGAAGGGCTCCCGCTGGTGGAGCGGCGGATGACTGCTTCACTTGCGCCAAGCGGAATGTCAAGTGCGACAGGAGGAGGCCTTATTGCTCGCAATGCTTGGAGATTGGCAACGAATGCTCTGGTTACAAGACTCAACTAACATGGGGCGTCGGCGTGGCGAGCCGGGGCAAGTTGCGCGGCTTGTCGCTGCCCATTGCGAAGGCGCCGCCCGTGAGTTCAGGAAAGGCGAAGTCGGCGGCGACGGTGCGGGCCCGGACTGGATCTGTCGCCTCGACTGGACAATGGCCAGCGGAGCAGGATGACCGAGTGATCAGGGAAGAGGTGGAAGTGAAGATGGAAATGGGCCACAGGCGGAACCCATCGGTATCACAGCCCACGCCTCACTTTCACCCTTACGACATGACACACCTATCCCCAACCGAAACGGCGCCGCCAGGCTGGACTCACATTCCTTTCTCATCAAGCATGACCGCGAACGATGCATCGAGATTTCCACGGCCCCTGCACATCCCGATCTCGTCTCCCGGGGACATGATGCAGCGAGAAATGATCCAGACACCAATCGACTCGATGAGCGACGTGGACTACATGTCGCCTCTCGGCCACTCGTTTCCGAGGGAAGACGTCCCGACCTTCATCCATAGCCCGATCGTCTACGAGGGCTTCCCCAGCCATGCGTCTCCCGTTCCCCAAAGCCCGGTGGCGGGCATGATGATCGAGCACTCGCGGGCACCGGCTCCGTGTCCCAGCCTCGTCTACACGCCATCAGAACCCGCGTCGAGTCTCCACTCTCATCTTTCTCATGTTGATAGCATGGAGGTGCAGTTGAGCCGCAAGATGCCTCAGGACTGCGATGTCCTGGGTGAGTTACACCACCTATAACCCCCGTGCAACAAACTCTAACCCCCTGTTCAAGTCCCTGGCACCCCAGACCTGGACGCGTACAGCTCCAGTGTTCAGTCACACGGTCCTTTCTGGACTTCTTCAAATGCGGATGATGAGTCTGTGTCGCAGAGCGTCCCCGACAGAAACCCAGCACCATGGCCAGGGTCGTTCCCATCACAGTCCCCTTCACCAGTCCTGCAGGTTAGCTCGGACCTGATTACCAAAATGCCATTCTTTATGGACTACTACGAGAAGACCATGTGTCCCAGCATGGTATTCATCGACGGCCCCAACAACCCCTTCCGGGAACAAATCCTCCGGCTCGGAACCAGCAGCAGAAGCTTACAACACGCCATCTGCGCGCTCGCAGCATGCAACCTGAGAATGAAGAGGAGGCTTAGCCGTGGCGGCCACCATGGCAGGGATGCTGGCGAGAGACAATTGGACATGAGCCCGATCGACAGCGGATCCGGCGTGCAGCCCAGCGACCAGTCCCTTGCTGAGGAGTATCAGCACCGGAATCTAGCCGTCCGCCTACTCAACGAACAGCTCAACGACGCCGAGAAGTCCATGCACGATTCTGTGCTCGCCACCATTCTTCTGTTATGTCACTACCGGATGGCCGAATCGGGCGTAGCAAAGTTCCAAACGCAGTTCGCAGGCGTGAGAAAGATTTTGGGGCTACGGAGGATGTCACCGTACCCGGCATCGAGGGACTCGGGATGGATGGAAGCCTTATTCACCTACTTCGACTCGATATCCGCAAGCGTCAACGACAGAGAACCGCAGCTCACCACCTCCTTTTACGGTGTCCCACCCGATACGCAATTATTACCTCCAGGGGCCGAGAACCTGGTCGGTTGCGACCGCGAACTATTCAAAACGATCAGCAAGCTTGGCCGGCTGAATCTCCTATCACAACACCGGCCAGTACAACAACTCCTCGCCTCCTCACCACTACCTCGCATCACCACCTCCCGATCAGAATCCCCCCTCGACGCCCCATTCAAGCCCCCTCCCCTCCACACCAGCTCAGACCACCACAGCATCTTCGGGGGCCTACCCCACCCCGTCAACAGCAGCGTGCGATTCGACGGCAACGGCTTCACCACCCCCAACATCGAAGACGACGACATGATGAACCCGACCCATCTGCAGTCCCCAACCGCCTACGACGACCCCCGCAGCATGTTCTGGCGCGAGTGGAAAGAAGCGCGGCAGGCCCTCCAAAGCTGGGAATTCGACGCGGGCCGCGTGCGCGCCTCCCTAACCGCACCGTCACAGTCGTCGCCCTCCTCGCCGTCGCCGGTCGGGTCCTCGTCCCTCCTCACGGCGGCGCCTCCGACAAGTGGGCAGGTGCGGGACCTCGGCTCGCTCAGCGAGGCGTTCCGCTACGCGGCGCTGCTGTACACGGAGCGGCTCGCCAGCCCCAACGTGCCGTCCAACCACAACAACTTCCGCAACCTCGTCAGCCAGGTCGTCTACTACGCCACCAGCCTCGAGTCCGGCAGCGCCGCCGAGAAGTTCTTGCTCTGGCCCCCTGTTTGTCGCCGGCAGCGAGTGCGTCAACGAGCTGCAGCAGGGCATCGTCCGCTCCAAGTGCAGGGAGATCATGGCCCGCAGCGGCTACATGAATAACCTGGCTGCGCTTGAGGTGCTGGAGCGTCTGTGGGCGGGTGAAGGGGGTTGGCGGGATCATCACCATCCTCATCATCACCAGGGGAGGATGGGAGGGAATGGAAAGGGCGGGCCGTTCAATTGGGCGAAGTGTATTGGCGGGCCGGGGGTGGAGGTGGAGTGGATTATGTTTTAATGGGTTGGTTCATGAGCTGTTGAGGGATGATGAGGTCGTTATGGGTATATCATGGGGATGGATACACAGTACAACGGCGTGGTTGCACAGCACATAGATGCATCGGTGGTCTTTTTGCTTTGTTTGGGTCTGGTATTTGTGGTACTTGGAGCGGGTCCTCTGTTGTGTTTTTCTTTTTTATATCATCACCATTCATGGCAGAGCGGTCTACGACTGGTCTTCTTTTTTTTTTCCCATGTACATGTATGCATACCCTGGGTGGTAGTTTTTTTGGGAAACGGGGCATTCACGGGCGCTGAGGCGCCGGTATCTACGTCTGTCATAGTTTATAGTAGCTAGTTGGGCAGGTCGGCTTCTAGGGGACACGAGGAAATAGTCTATACTGGTCACTACTCGCGGCTCACTCTCTCGTTCGAATATTTCCCTCACAGTGACATGACATGTAAACGACGTTCCACGAAACAAGCCGGACACGGCGAGCAACCCCAATCCGGCCCAGACCGTTCTTGCGAATCGACTGCATCTCGGTAACCGAGTGGGACTCTTGCGCAATCTCCCCGGCTTGCTCGATTTTTTTTTTCGCTCTTCCCCCCACTCCTATACAAGTAGATGTATGTACGTCCAAGCACATCGCAGATGGTACCGCGTCGGTACCAACGCCAGGCACCGCGGTTCCTATGCACTGTTGCCCGAGCGATCGGAGAGTCTAGCCGGGGAGGGAAAGGCTCGTGGGGGGAAGGGAAGTGAGAGGAGATCTCCTCCTGCATACACCACAGAGGTTATGGTATGTACCTACCCCCTGGCGTAATGGTGTTGCCCATCACCTACCTTCCTCTTGACGAGCTTCCCGAAAAAAGTCTTGGCTGCTGAGCCGATATCTCTCGCCGTGCACTTGTGCTTCACACTTTCTCTCCCCTGCTTCCCTGCCCGTCCGGTACACGCACCCCTGCTGAACGTGCCGTGGTGGGTTGAGGATAGCCGAGATGTGTCGTGTTGAAACTCGGGTGGCTTGCTGGTTCTGGGAGCAGTCCGGGGGGAATAGGGGGGTTGGTTTAGTCGGGTAGTGATGAAGATCAAGGATATTTTTGTTATCGTCGATCTGTCGGGGAGCAGCACAGGGGGTGGAAAGGAGAGTCAACAGGGAGCGGGTAAGCCATCTCCGATTGTATCCCGCTGCCGCTGCCCGTCGTGGTTATCGAGTCTCAGATCGACAGGTCTAGTTGACCGGACGGGAGCACCTTCTAGACAGCTTCTAGAAGGTGAGTTTCTAGGGCAGTGCAATGCGCGTCGCACACCCTCTTCTGCGGCTCATCACCACGCTACTCTCTTCCCCCCTCCCCCGCATTGCCATGGGCCAGGTCGACGAGCCAAGCGCCTTAGGCTTACTTACCTACTTACCTACTGGTTGATTGGGGGGGCGAGAGGAGGTGCGCAACAAATGGATAACTATTGGGGGTCAGGGTTGACGGGTGCCGAATGCGACGGGGGTTGCAGGTGCTTGGGCTGCCGCTCTCCCATAAGTGGCCTCACCCACATGAACCGATCATACCTTTACTAGGCTCAGGAAGGAAGGAAATCAAGTGTGTGTGCCTTTGTTGGGGAGGAAAAACGCGGGGTTGACATCGCTTGGCCACGGGAAGGATGGAGTGGTTTGCATCGGCTCTGGGTTTCACGGAATCGTGCGCGGAAGGAAAGGACAATGTGATTAGTGTGATTCAAGTTTCCGGTGTTGATGAGTTGTTAAAACCCGGGGTTTGCCGGCTTGGGCAGCTTGGAGGAGTGGTGAGAGAATTGGGACGTGTGTCGTGGTTGCCCTTTTGGGGGATAGTTAGTTCCCAGCTGCCGCCAGCGAGCAAGCTAAGATTTGATGCCAAGACTCAAGGACCGGCAACAGTTTGGGGGCATGTGACAGCCGAGTAATGGAGTGAGCATGGAAAAGCTGGCTGCAAGACAACGCTGGCGGCAAATGGGCCCTGTTTCCTAGTCACGTAAAATACCCGGGTAGGGGTTTAGAAAAAAGAACAGAAAAGACAAGACACGTGAGATGCCAAAGCCTACAAAATGGTTAACTAATACCCCGGTGTATTATGCACAACAATCACCAGCACTGAACTTTCTCCGCATTTTTCTCTTCTTTATGCCCGAAAACCATCTGTTTAACAATCTGGATGCCATCTTCAACCCGATACACTAGAAAACAAGGAAAGCTGGAAATGTTGCCACCACAAGTCCAAAGCGTAACATTATTTCCCTCTCTCTCAGACAAAAAAAAAAAAAAAAACAACCCCCGTCGGCTGGCTTGTACTTCATATCCAACACGGCTGAGGTAAACGACGGGGTCCCGGTGGACGCCCCAGCGCTGTTGTTTGAAACTTCCCGGCTGTGCCCGGAGCTGAGCCTTGCGTGCTCTCGATGTCTGAAGCACCAACAGCTTAACAATCAAGAGTCTTATCAACATAATGAGCATGCCAAGTGGTCTCTTGTACTGACAAACCCGATGGAATCGTACAGTTTGAATGGCCTAGTGATAATGCGCTCTTGTAGGATAAATCCCGGAACCTTGTTCATGCAGAACACTAGACGGCCTGTGAGGGGGGACCTAGGGCTTCCGGCCGCACTTGTCAGGAGTTTCAGTACCATGGTGCAGACACGCAACGAACCCGTGAACCATACCATCCACATTTACAGCGGTTTGAGTCTGGAAATTGGGCGGCGGTAGTAGCGATTTCCTCCCAGCTTGCTAAGTCTCTCTTTTATTATACATTATACATTACCCCCCCTCCCCCCTCCATTACCATTTGGATTCATGATTAGAGAATCCGGATGTCGAGAATGTTTCCTTGAGATCCCTCCTTGATGCTCTCGAAGACATCCTCATTTGGCGTAACCAGACTATACTCTTGGTTACATCCGTGGGGCTGTTGTCCAGTAAACAACAGCCCAACGACTCCTCCTTTCTCGTCCCAAACGACAGAGCCAGAGTCTCCACGGTTTCCAAATGGTTGGCCGCCGAGGGGCAACAACATATACTCAGTGGACTTGCGATCTTCCGCGTTCCGGCCCGGCATGTACTTTTCCTCGTTGATCGTGCAGTCCGCCTTGATTTCTTCGAACTTGCCAACGGTGCACTTCGTCGAGGCGCCGTTTTTAAAACACGGTCTTCTTTTCGAAGGTCGTGTATCGAGCGGGTCTGAGGCTTTAGGTTTCCTCCGTATACGTCGGGGAACTCGTCGGCAAAATACCTTGAGCCTTCCAATCCTGCACGTTTGGCATGGGATTCCCCCAACACGATCATCGGAAATTGGCTTGATCAAGGCCCAGTCGAGTCGGCCGTTGGACCTGGTCCGGTTCAAAAAGCCGGAAGCGAAAAATACTGAACCGAAATACTGCATTCCCCTGTCGAAGAAGGAAACTGCGTCGTTCAACTCCCCTCGGAAGTCGTCGGGAACAGGATTGCCACCACGTTCAAGGGAGCGGATCTTTCGCTGAAGGGTCTCAACGGTGAAATTGCGTTTCAGTCGGGTAGGATGTTCCATCTTTTGGCGCTTTGACGTGCCCTTCGTTTTCAAACCGTCATGGTCCGCGGTCCAAAGTTCCGAACCTTTCACAAGGTCGCTCATATCCCCGCGATGAACCAATGGGGTGCCAACTTGAACTTGAACCTTCTTGACGTTCATGGTGTAACCTTCGAGGCTGTGCCTGACTATGTGGTAATTGGTAAGGGCCATCTTCATCCAACCGTGGTCTTTGACGTTGATCTCGACCCAGCATCCCAGAGTGCCTATGGGAGGGTTTGCCAGTTTTCCATCGGCGCGACGGATATAACATCCCGCGCCAATGTCATCCCCAGAACTAACAGGTGTCGTGTATGGCGTTCCGAGACCATAATTAAAACCAAGCCGGCTGATCTCTCGTTCGGCAGCCGTTAGGTTGGAGGAAAGAATGGGGAGGCAGGGTGGCCCATGGTATTATGCTCCAGATGAACATGTAGGTCGAAGTTGAATCCATCGACAAACGTTTGCATGTCTTTTAGGACAGGGGGCCATCCGGCCTCGGGTGATTCATAATCCACGGTAACATACACCGTCTTGTGGCTGTTGTAACTTTCGTTGAACCCGAGCTTGAATAGGGCGATGGCGGTCATATGGTCAGCTGTCGAAGCGTATTTTTGCATGATGTTATAAATCCCCATGCTTTATCTTGGGCCAGGCGCTCTTCAGATGAGGATAGACGTCATCGTGATCCAGAGGAGAGAGAAACTTTGGGAGGACCAAATCCTCAAACACCATCTCCACGTTGATGTCAATTTGGCTGATGCTCTAGGTATCGGAAACGCGCATGTCGAATGGTGGGGATCAGTTAATAACTGTCTCATATGAAATGTCTTCTTCTCGCAAACCAAACATACCGATATATTTTTTTCACTTTTTCGACGACAACTTGCCATGAATTCTCAGTCCATTCGCCCACCACAATCAAGATGGTGGGCTGGGAGTCTGATGGGTCATCACGAAACACTGGATTATCCATGTATTAGTCAATACTCAATAAGATTATCATGGAGTCGAATGGCCGTAGACATACCGCGGTTTGTGAGCATTGCGTGAACGGTCGACTCCCGGATGCCGCACTCGGCGGCGATTTCGACACCCTTTTGAGAGAAGTCCTTCCCGAAATACGCCTCGATATTGAGACACTCATCGCCGCCAGAGTAGTTTGTGAGCGGCATGGGGCAGGGGGGGGGGGGGTTAACGAGCCGGAATTTGCCATTCGAAATGTCAAAGAGCCCAAGACTGCTCTCCGATGAATCGGAGGCTTCAGCGCGACGCGCCCTGCTTACGGTTGTAGAACTTGAAGACATGCTGGGTCAAATGTCAATCTTTTGGGAGTTTTGGATGGAAAAAAGGGTAAAGTCGTGATGCAAATGGGAACTGTTGGTAGTGAAAATGGGAACAGTTTGTGGAAATGGGCGAGTTTGTGACAAGAGAGTTGGATGGATGGATGGAATTTATTTCGCCCGGAGGCACTGGGCCTCTAGGGCCTTAGCACGCTAACTACATCCGGATCAAATCGTTTTGCCTTTAACTCGTACAAGCCCCCTACTTCTTCCTCTTTCTCGCTGCACCATTTACCGGCAAGAGAGTTATCGCCCGCCACGGGTCCAACATCTGGACAAATCACGTGAGAGTCACATGATACTTGTCAGGCCGCGAACTGGGCCGCCAAGGGGCTCGGACGTTACCACTAGGCCTCTTTTCCCGGTTAGGGCGCACACAGTTATATATAACGAGAGACAGACACCTTGAAAAACCCCGGGTCAAGGAGGTTGCGCCAGACATGCAACAGTATTAACTTATTCTCCAAAGTCTCAAAGTTTGATGCCAGTCAGTTCGCACTCCAGTTTGATTTAACTAATATCAACGAAAGTGCAATCTGAGAATCTGAGTACAACCTCACTGCATCAAACTAATGACTATATCAAACTAGGTACAATTGACTACCATGCACTGTGCAATAAGCTGCCATGACCATGGCAAGATCAAGTTGGCCGGCAGGTTGGCAGTGGCACGCCAGCTGCCAGCTACCAACCGCGATAAGCAGCCAACCCCACCGAAAATCCATCTTATCGCTCGACGGCTGGGAATTTTCGAAACGGCAGTCCACCACAGCAACAAAGTGAAGGAAGGTTGCTGTCGCCAACGCCAACCCGAACCAATCCCCCGTCCACACCACACACAATGGGTCGCGAACTACAGAAGCGCAAGCGGCGCTCGTCGCGCGCCAAGGTCACCATGCCCAACCGGCGCAAGAAGGCGCTGAACCCTTTCGGCAACGACATTATCGCAAAGGCCTGGTATGTTCCCGTCATTGCGTTCCCCCTCAACCTCCCCCCCCCCCCCCAACCCAATACTAACACCCACCCCCCCCTTTCTCCCAGGAACAAAAAAGAGACCCTCTCGCAAAACTACACGCGCTTCGGGCTCGTCGCCAAGCTCGGCAAAGCCACCGGCGGCGCCGCACCCAGCAACCGCTCAACCCTCTCCACCCCGACCGACCCGCTCGCGGCGGCGGCCGCCGACCGCGCGCACGGTCTGCTGCGGGTGGGCGAGGTGCGGGTGGAGCGCGACGCGGACGGGCGCATCACGCGCGTGGTGCGCGACGAGAACCCGCTGGGGGATCCGCTGAACGCGCTGGACTCGGACGACGAGGGGGAGGCGGGCATGCAGCTGCGGAGGGAGCAGGCGCAGGCGCAGGCGAGGCGGGCGGGGTATGAGGAGTGGAGTGGGTTTGGGGATGCGGGTGGTGCGGAGGGGGAGGGGGAGGGGGAGCGGCCGGAGGTATTGCGGGCGCTGGAGCGCGAGGCGGAATAGGCCGACGGAGAAGGCTGTGAGGCATCAGAGTGAGCGCGAGGTGGAGTGGTTGAGGCGGTTGGCGGATAAGCATGGGGATGATACCGTGGCGATGGCGAGGGATGTCAAGTTGAACCCCGATGCAGCAGACGGCGGCGGATATTTCGGAGGCGGTTAAAGAAGGCTGGGCTGTTGGAGGCGTGAAGGAGTTGAAGGATATATAACACGGGGTGGCCATCCCATTGTAGAGGTCAAGGGAGACCACTATAAGGTTATGCGGGTTGGGCTGTTCTTTGCAGTGGTGAAGGGGACCAAAAGAGCTGCAGCATATTTGTCGTAACCGGCGTTTGGCGTTGTCCGAGGGGTAGAGGTAAACAAACGAACAAAAATCTACACCAACACAGTCTAGAAATCGAAACATGAAAACTGAAACGAAGTTTGCATGTTCATGGTATCTCTTGTTGATCTACCCTCTAAGACGCCGGCAACACCAAAAGCTAAGCCAAGCCAACGCTATCCCTATAATCCCCCAACCAGGAGAGGAAGCCAAAATGCACCAACTATTGAACCATCCCAGAACAGACCCGAAGCCATACAAGAGCGATCCGCCCACCTCCCAACCAACATCTTCCAACCTCACATCAACCTATACTCTCTCTGTCTCTCCGCTTTTCAACCAACCAAACAAACCAATATCCTCAATCATTACAGCCTTTCAATCCGGTCATAATCAGCACGGGGAAACCTCGCATCCTCAAACCCATCCGTCGGCGCGGGCGTGGCATAGCGACCCGCCGCCGACACGCTCCCAGAGTGGTACTCAGTGTCGTGGCCATCAAAGGGGTTGGCCTCCTGCTGGCGGAAGGGGTTATCATGGTAGCTGCTGACGGTGCTGGCACCACCGACATGGCTGGCCGTGCCGGCGCCCACACCAGAGCCGTACGGGTCCGAGTAGTCGGAGCGGGCGCCGCCGCCGAAACCACCGCCGTAGCTGGAGCCGTCGTGGCGGTCGTCGTGGTCGGTGTCGTGGTCGTGGTCGGCGGCGTTGACGGGCGCGTACGACTCCTCGTCGTGCGGCGCCAGCGAGAAGGCCGCCTTGTCCGGGTCGATGTTCTGGCTGTTGAGCTGCGCGCGGTCGTAGCCCAGCAGCCGGTTGTTCCACTGGTAGTATTTAAGGGTCCAGATGCTGAAGAAGGTCGTCACGCAGAAGAAGAGGCTGTTTTGGTGGGGTTGTGTTAGTTGCGGGGGGTAACTATCGACAAGGAGGGTGTGGGGGTAGGCGGGGCGCAAACGTACAAAACGAATACGGCCATGGCAACGACGGCCTTGCTGAGGCCGCAGGCTGTCCCGCAGAGTTGGCCGTGTTGTAAGCGGCCTGGGTTGAGAA